CAACTCCACCCGAGGCCATGCAGTAGATTGGGAGGTTTAGGGTTATCGACAAGCACAGCGGACCAACCGACGACAACTGCGCAAGACAGCAACGGAGCAATGCGGTAATTGGTTTTCTCCTTTAGCATCCTGAGTGCCTGGATCACTGTCGCTTCCAAAGACCCTTTCTCAGCCAGCACAGAGTGGAACCAATTCCCATGAAATCGCGATCGTTGGCCCGGGCGTAGTCCAGCAGCGATGCCTAGGATTTTTTTTCACTAAGTAAACATTGCAGAGAGGTCATGTGGCTCCACTGAGCGGCATGAAGATCCGCCATGGATTTGTCTCCACTGGCCCGGAGACCCCTCATTTTGCGTTCCATCCTGCGTGTATCACATGCATGACCAAAAAAGTGAAGACCACATGCATGAAACAAGGCGTACGGGTCCCATCTGACCGAAGCTGCTTGCGATTCCGCAGCCACCATTCGCATATGGTTGTACCAAACCTGACAGGGACTTGAGCATGTCTAAAGTGCGGCCCTTTTGCATCACGAAACACGCATGCAACTCTCGAAGAGGCAGCCTTTCCGGGTAAGCTTGCGAAGCCTTGAGACCAGGCCCCCCACATGTTTTGCGGATGCCTTGGGAGTTCACGTACCTAGGTGCAGGAGAAGATAGAATCAACTGCATTCAAAGTGGGAAGCCAGCTTTACTGGAATCCTGGAAGTAGTGTATGGTGGTTCGATACTTGCACAGCTCAGGACAAGCAGCTTTTGCATGACAGGACCGTACTTGTTGCAGGAGCGAGCTTCGGAGCCGGGAGCACTGGAAGTCTCGAAGGCATCGGACATGTCTTCGTTCGAGCAAATCCAAATTGGTTTCAAACTGTGAGCCGCAAAGGTTGCCAAGGAAACGCTATGCCTGAGAAGTTGAGCTTTGACATGGCCTTCTTGCTCCCTGGCAATGAACCACTTCATGAGATATTGAAGGTCCCAGTGAACCTCCAGCTTGGAGTTGAAAGGATTCTCCAGCGAGAAGACTCCTCCCCGGGCCCAGTGCAGCAAAAGGATGGCCGCTGTGATGCTGGCCAAGGCAGACCCCTGTTGAACATAGGGATATTGAGAATTTCCTTGTGGGAAAAAGGCGCTGCGGCGATGAGTTCCGGAATTCGGCCAGCAGAAGGACGTGCAGACAGTGCCACAATGCACCAAGGATCCTGGTTCCATGAGCAGCACTGTCATGAAGGCGAGCACCACGCCTGGAGGCGAGAGAAGGTCGTGCATCAAGGAGCCTTAGGAGCGGCATTACACAGGACATGCAATTATACATGGCTATGCAGAGGAAGTCGTGCAACCCGAGAATCGTTCAACATCAATGGCTTTGGCATTGTAGCCTTCCCGTCTCCATGCCCCAGCGAGCACAGCAACTCCTGCAAAGAACTCCGTCATTTGCAGATGCCCGGTGGGCAAGTCCTGCAACATCAGGTAGCGGGAAAAGTTGCATATGTGAAAAAAAGATTGACAGACACATTGGCATTCCAGGGTTATAAGCCTCGCAAAGATATAGGCAGCCTTCCAGCTGGACCACGAAGCACATCATTACCATCTCAACCAAAACCTGGATGAAATCTGTGGAGAGGCCGGAGCAGAAAGAGGAGAGAAGAATCGGAGAGAAGAGGCGTTTTTTGTGCATCCGCGAAGCCCAAGGAACTCCCAAGGACACCAGACCATGGAGCTCTCTCAGTCGTGCCACATCCAAGCTTTTCATAAAATGTTCCACGGCCACAAGATCAGGTGTATAGTTGAGCTCAGCAGGGCCAGCCATCAAGGCAGGTGTGATCGGTGCAAAGTGAAAACAACTCATCAGTCCACGACAATGATCTTGAACATATGCTTCTATCTAAACATCTTTTGGCGGGTTAGGCATAATGGTCATGCATGTGCACAGTTTCCTTGGAGGGTGTGATTCTTTGGGACATGATTCTAATTAAGCCTTTGATCCACTGCGATGATGGAGAGTTCAGCAAGTATTATATGTGAATCAAGAAACATGAAGCATGGCATAGCCCGGGGCACAGAGCGGATTGTCTTCGGCATCCCAGCCGCTGCTCCAAATCATCATCGAGGGCACGGCCTACAAAACAGCAACGAAGTTTGTCCTGTCTCGCACATGGAAAGCATGGAGTGGAAGCATGCCTGCAGATTTATTTGGTTCACATGCAATGTGCCTTTTCTCATGCTTTACGTCGGCTTCCCTGAAAAGGGGCCGGGCTCATGAGGCACGTCGGCTTCCCTAAAAAGGGGCAGAGCTTAGCAGTTTCCACCCATCATAAGAAATCCGGGAGCTGTTTCCATCCATGATATACAAACCGCGGGCCCTGGAATCCAGGGCCCGTCTCAGGGAGCTTGAAGCTTGTGGGTGTTCACAGTCTGGACGGCCTCCTCCTCCGTGATTTCTTTCTTCTGCAGCCGACCCATGGCGAGCTCCACAACATCCCTGTCGCGGCACTGCACCAGCTGCTTGTCGACCGACTTGTTCCCCGAGTCTTTGACCCTCTTCACCAACGCAAACTGAGTTGTGCCCCCTCTCTTGTGAGGCTTTATCAGGTAATGCGGGCCGTGATCCGCAGTCGGCCTGGAAGCCGCCTTTTTGGCCGCCGCCTTGGTGCGTGCGGCTAGCCGTCGCTGGTTAAGCGGAAGCACGGGTTCGGGGGCTTCTGCATCCATGCCCTGGCGCATCTCCTGGCAGCAGCGCATTTCAAGAAAGTAAAGAGGAAAACGCATGATGCGGCTGAAGTGCCTCCAAGTACTCAGGCTCTGGGGCGTAGGAAACTTCACCGGACACGTCAGACTTGCGTTTCGTAGCAGGTCCGCGGGCATCAGCACCGCTAGCCTGTCATGCGAGGCATCCAAGGAAACAGGATGTTATAGCCAGAAGCAGCTGAGAAACAGGAGCATCCTCATCCTCACTTTCAACAATTTCCAGTGTTTTGCCCGATAGCGACGAGAGGATATTGTTCCTGCACAAGGCAGTCAACATAAGAAGCCACACGGTCGGATTCCATGCCTGCCTAAGAGATTGCACCGTGATCTCCCCCGGCACGGCGGACCTGCCCGGAGCACAACCCAAGTCCAACTTGTCAAACCTGCTATGTGCCTGCTCTCTGACGATGATGCTGTGGACGGCTGCATGATCTCCGGCCTTCGGAAGCTGGGTTATTTAGGGTTTAGGGTCGTTTCGAGGTTTTAGGGATTCAGGGTTCCTGAGGTATACGGTTAATTGAAGATGCCAAATGACTGCCGCCATGTTGATCGAAATCACGCGTATGCACTACAGGCCTGGGTTGCGCTGACGACGAGGATGCCTTTTCGGGGTCAGCACTTGGCCTGCAGTGACCCGAGTGGACAGACACACGAAGTGACGGTCAACAAAGGCAACGTAGCCATTATGAGTTCAGCTTGCAACTGAGAGTCTCGTTTTTGAAAAGCTCCCGGCGCACCGTAGATCCATCTTCCTTGAAGAAGAGTAAGAAATCGTCCGGGGGCGATTTTGGATCCCTGCGTTCCACTGATCCATCCTCTCTGAAAAACAGCAACTCGTCGTCGTCGTCGTCGTCTTCCAAGTTTTCCTTGGATTCCTGCGTCTGCATGGCGGCGATCATCTCGAAGAGTTTCGGATTTACGGACATCGCATTTGCCGGCCATTCCTTTGATTGCCTCTTAGCTTCGTACTTCCAGACCCGGCGAGTCTTCCTGAGTTCGGCAAAGAGAGCTTTAACGTCGAAGGCGAGCACCTCCATCATTTTCTGATTCAATTCCACGTGCTTCGGGCCATCCCTTTTGAAAATTTCTTCCAAGATCGACTGCAACCTCACATGAATGAAGACACAGCGGGCAGTGCATGGTCACAGCAGACCCGCGACAGCAGACATTCATGGCTCTTTGAAGACAGAGGGCGTCTCCACAGACCAGGTCGCCGCCGGGTATTTTCGGATCAGTGGCATCAGAATCCAGTACGACTCCTTGCAGCTGGGTGTGGTATCCCAAGCCTACCTCAAGCAAGCACAACTGGCCAACCGACAACAAGCTCTAGCTACCTACCTCAAGCAAGCACAACCGACCGACCGACCGACCGACTTTTGTCGTAGAAACCCCCTCCGAGCACCCCCTCCGTGAGACTCCTTAAGTGCCTCTTAGATTCTTGTTGCATCTCCCGCGTGATTTTTGCGGCGTTGCCGGCTCGATGAAACAGCTGAGCCGGATCTCCGCGGAGGAGATCCGTGGTGTCGAAAGGACAGGATACCTCCTACACAGGTAGCTATACAGGATAATGCGTGGGAAGTACGAACAATTCTATTTCCAGCGGAAGCATGAACGAATGCATGGATCCCATCCTGGAGCAACTCCATCACCTGCTCCTTTTCCAAAACCAAATCTTTGATGCGAGGCATGGCTCAAAATCCGGACACGTGCCCAGACTTGCCTAGGGCAAAGCCTGCATGCATACACATGAAGGTTTGTAGTTTGGATACTGGTTTACAACGGCTCTGCCTAGCTATTGGGTATTTTTTATCCGCCCTGGATACCAGGGCCGATTTAGATAGGATGTGCACACGACATGATCAAGCATGCAGCCTATATGCCACGAAGGCAATCAGCTATAGGGCCAGATATGGCAAAGTGCATTGCAAAGATGGTATAGCGGCAGTCACACGCAGACCCAAACAGCCGTGTTGCGGCAACAATCCCCGCCTGCCAGTGTCTTGCGTTTGCCCATGGCCACGCTCCACACAAGCTGTCGACGAGATCAAAGCCCTGGCAGGGGCAAATTGGCGTTCAAGGGTTAATTATGCTTATGAACTCTGGCACAATCTTTGTGCTAGGACACACATCTGTTCTGAGTATTGCTCCTGACTATTGCAGGGAACTGTACAGAGAACACATTCCCATCGAAACGTGTTCCAATTTCGACGCTTTGACCTGAAGGTCAAAGCATGGGGCCGGAACATCGACGCCTCAATCAGCTTCGGATTTGCAGATCCATGTGGCCCCGGAACATCGGCACTTCAATGTCGGTCCTTCGAATCTTCTTCCAGCTGACATCGACATCTTGGTCCCGCAGCATCTGCCTTTTGTGTATATACCTGGCATGCCTCACTGACACGGGCGTGTCCAAGTGAAGCTTCGTGGTGCGAAGTTCAAAGCAGGCGAAAGATGACACACCAGCAATCTCTTCCTCCTGGATCGACCCAAGTGTCGGACACCAGTCGCGGTGATACCAGCCGGCTTTGAATACCAAACCCTCATCACAGGAAAAGTGCAGTCCAATGGACCCATCCACCTTCCACGCGAGGAGTTTGTTGCACACTGCCATGGCGTGGCTTATTATGAGATCCCCGGGCAATTGTTGGGAGTTGGGAAACACACGGTCCACTTTCTGTAGCTTTGCTTCTTGCAGCGACTTAAGAATCGATCCTTCGAGCAGGAAGCTTGCAAGCGGAGCATCAGAGGAACAAGCAGGAACCGCCCATGCAGCCCATGCAGGACTCGACACAGATTGCCAAAATGCTTCAGAACTGGCCTCCAGCTCCGGGTGTCCGCAGGTCCTGCAGGAAAAAACGATCGAGAGACAGTGCCAAAATGCAAGTTCCAGCAGCTTATGCAAAGCGATGCAACGCATAAGCAAGCCCCTTTTGCCAAGCCTGATCGCAGAAGATTGCCCGCGTCTGCAACGAAGATGATGTCCCACCATACAGGTATAGCTAGGGTTTTGTGTCTATTTTTCTACAATACAAAAAGGATGGTTGACTCTTCAGATTCAGTCATCATCATCACTATCGTCGCAGCAGCATGCCGCGCACCTTTTACGGTACTTTCTCGGCGGGTGCAGCCAACTGGTTACCTCCTCGTAAGGAGGTAAGCTTTCACCCTCGCTCATCTGTACTTCTTCGTCTGCCCAAGGAGGATTGAAAGGAGACCCAGGCCCGGGCTCCGCGGCAGAGGAAGGCAGCGATGACCTGTCCGTGAAGACCAATTAAGCACAACCGACCGACCGACCGACCAAGCCAACAATCAGAAAGAGAGAGAGAGAGAGAGAGAGAGAGAGAGAGATAGAGAGAGAGAGAGAGAGAGAGAGAGAGAGAGAGAGGATTAGCCCAGTTGCGTGTGCACGCGTGCCGGGCTCAGCGGCAGCTGCATGCCGAATCGGCCCATGGGAGGCCCGCGGAGCAACCTAGGGGTTCCGTTTAGGGTTTAAGCTAGGCTTAAGGGGTTGCGGAATGTTGCCGAGCTACAATGAAGGCGTCGTGTTGACGTTGAAGTAGAGCCCCTGCCTGGGCGTGCCAAAAACACACCCTATAAACCTGAAGCCCATTCCTAAGACCTTTTTCCACAGGCTTGATTAGTGCTCGCAAGACCTAAACCCTGAACCCTAAAGCCTAAACCCTAAACTTGCCGGGGCGCGTCGTGGGCATCTGCATCATGCTTAAGTGCAACAGCGGCGTGCGGTCCCTTTGCCTTGGAACATGGATTTAGGATGATTCATGCTGGGTTTCCCTTTTCTTTTTACCTTATAAGGGCATGAGGCTACTGATGTTCCAGCCGAGTCGCAGGGAAGGAGTAACTGCAGGGTTCAACCATCTGGGGTTGCAAAGCCTCAATGAGTGAGTGAGTGAGTGAGAGAGCAAGCGACTAGCTGCACGAGGGAATAAAGCATGAACCCTGAATAAAGCCGAGATGCATGGCCGGCTGGTTGTGCGTGGTGCCGATAATTAACGGCTGCTGCCGCGGTGGGAACGCTAAGTGGTCCGGCAACGGCCTCGAGAGAGAGAAACCAAGAGAGAGAGATAGAGAGAGAGAGAGAGAGAGAGAGAGAGAGAGAGAGAGAGAGAGAGAGAGAGTGGACTGCACCCGCCTCAGACCCCGAGCAAAGCAAAGAGAGAGAGAGAGAGAGAGAGAGAGAGAGAGAGAGAGAGAGAGAGAGAGAGAGACAGACAGAGTCTCAGGAGGGAGCGGCGTCGTTGGGTTCGGCAAAGCGCGGACCATAAATGGCAGAGGTGGCGGCGGCAGCGGCATCGCGATCAAAATTATGTTATGTGTTTCTCCATGTGACCTATGTGACCATCACATGCAGTCATCGATCGAGCTGAAAAAAGCTGCGCAATGAGGTGGTTCCAAAAAGCAAACTGGATTGCAAGAAAGGGTGTCAGAATCGACGGGCTCAGAGGCTACAACGCCTGTGGAAGCTTTTCCAGACGAACGTGAACCGGCATGCAGTCCTCAGGAGTCCAGCCACCAATCATCCAAATCCAATCACCAATCATCCAAAGGTCCTGCGAGACAGCAAGAGATTCAAGACAGATATTGCGAGAATCGGATGCAGTCCTGGAAAAGGATCTCAGGGCCGAAGTTCTCGATGGCAACAATGGCTGTGGCTTGGTAGAATTAAAGGTTTTGGGTTGTAGGGCGTCAAGGTCTTTAAGGGTTCAGTTATCGGATGAAGTATGTTTTGAGGAAAGCGTTCTTTGATCTAGGCTGCCGAGGCAGACTCTAGACTCTAGATCGATTACGACAATGCAGCTTGGAGCATTCGAACGGGATGAGTGCCTTCGGGCAAGCAAGCACGAAATCAGTCTTTAGACAAGCATGCTTGCACCCAAGCGATCGCGTTTTTCTTTCCTCAAGCATTCAATCACTTCCCCTACTTGATTCCAAGAAGCTGCTTCAAGTCCTCTTGAGAGAAGATCTCGCCAGAATCCGAAACGAACACATCCAGTCCGAGTGCTTGCATGCGGCGTAGCTGCTGCTTGGCTCGCTCCTTGAACTCCTCTGATATGCCTTCCTCTTTGCTGGGCCGGCCGACCTGAGACGATCCACTCGAGCGATCCCCACGAGGGCTCCTCGAGGATGTTCGACCGCCTGCGGACGATTCGGCGTTTGGCCCTCTGTCGGAGCTCGAGCGAACCCCACTCGGACCGTTGTCGGAGGACGATCGACCGCCTGCAGATCCGCCGGCACTCGGACCGAGCAGAAAGCCTCTTCGCATGGTGGCAGGTCAATCTATTCAGGGATCCCTTGAGTGATTGAAATCGCTGCAGCAAGCAACCATGCTGAAGGGTCAAACGACCAAGGTACCCAAGTGACAGAACCATGCAATCCAAGCAAACAACCAAGGAGAAACAAGCAAGGTGCCCAACCGGCCCACCAGCCAAGGCAAGCGAGCAACCATTTTTTTACCTGCAAATCGACCAAACGACCAACCGACCAAGCCAAGCAAGCAACAAGTGCGAAACAAGGGTGAAACATGCAAGGTGCACAATCGGCCAACCAACCAAGTCAAGCGAGCAACCATGCTAAAACAATCAAATCGACCAATCGACCAAGCCAAGCAACCATGGTGACACAAGAGTGAAACAAGCAAGGTGCACAAACGGACAACCGACCAACCGACCAAGCCAAGCAAGCAACAAGGGCGAAACAAGGGTGAAACATGCAAGGTGCACAATCGGCCAACCAACCAAGCAAAACTGCCAAAACAATCAAATCGACCAACCGACCGACCAAGCTCTCGGTGGGGCTTCCTACGGCTCTCGGTGGGGCTTGCTTGGCTCTCGGTGGGGCTTCCTACGGCTCTCGGTGAGGCTTCCTACGGCTCTCTGTGGGGCTTGCTTGGCTCTCGGTGGGGCTTCCTACGGCTCTCGGTGGGGCTTCCTACGGCTCTCGGTATTCTCTCGGTGGGGCTCGCTTGGCTCTCGGTGGCTTCCTATACGGCTCTCGGTGGGGCTTCCTACGGCTCTCGGTGGGCTCTCGGTGGGGCTTCCTAAACGGCTCTCGGTGGGCGGCTCTCGGTGGGGCGACGAGTTTTCCGGGGCTCGGACTATTTTTTTCCCGAGGGTCCCGACGATATTTTCCAGGATCCCGACGATATTTCTGGATTCCCGACTATATTTTTGCAGGTCCCGAGGGTCCCGACGATATTTTCCAGGATCCCGACGATATTTCCGAAGTCCCGACGATATTTCCGAAGTCCCGACGATATTTCCGGAGTCCCGACGATATTTTGGCCAGAAATGCATTCCCGACTATATTTTGGGTTGCTTTGATGTCCCGACGATATTTTGCCAGCCCCGACGATTTTTCTTCGGAGTCTGACGATAAAATATAGCCAAAAGCATGTCCAGGCAAGCGGGACCAGGCGGTCCATTCCCGGATCGTGTGGGCGCAGGCCCAAGAATACAGCCATAGGCTCCACTGCCCAGTCGGCGCGCGATCGGGGGTCAACGTCCACCCAATGCTCGCGCCGACCCACCGGCTCCACCAACGGCCATTGATGGACCCGGAGCTTCGCTCGGCCACACCTAGCAGCCCACCAGCTCAGGGAGACTGCCACGGAAAAGGCGAAGCAGGCCGTGGGAATGGGCGGAGACTCTCGCGACCCCTCCCCCCAGGAGTCACTCCCCTGAGGCAGGTGGCGGTGGTGGCACCGAACCGAAGGCCATTGCTGGATCTCGGCCACGTTGTGTCGAAGGAGCCTAGTATGCCTGTGCACATCGAGAAAAACGCAGGAATCGTACCAGAGATCGAGCCAAACTGCTGAAGGACTGCTGGCCGAGCCTGTTTCTGGAGGAACCCCCTCCTGAACAACGGCAGCCCCCCTGGAGGCACAGCCTTGCAACAGCTGCTCGAAGGAGTCCGGCGAGATAGGCGGAGGCCCGGCCAGCCCCGTCCAAATGCAATCGGCCTCTTGGGTCAAGCGATCGGCAGCCAAGACTGTCCAACCGCAGCACTGAAAAGCACGGCCCAGAATGATGTCTTCGCGGTGAAGCATCACCAGGCAAGGGGTCAACTCCCCTGCGAAGGGGGAGTCCGCGACCCCGGGCTCAGCATCCCCCACTGCTGGGCCAGGGCCCCATCACGAACTCCTCGCTTTCGCCTTGGCCTTGCACTTCGCTGCCCCATGGTTGGGCGCACCACAGACGCGCTCGGCCCGGAGAACCACGGCGCAGCGATGGGCCCCATTCGGGCACGGAGGTGCGTGCTTGCAGGACCCTTTCTGGTAGTCACCGCAAAGCTTGGTGCCATCTTTCATCACACGAGCTGTGGGCTTGCCTCCCACCATGGGTCCCGGGACGAACAAGGACTTGGTTGGCTCAGCGATCACTGGCTGGGGCTTCGGAGCGACTGGCCCTCCCTCCGGCAGCGCTGGCGCCAACCAGTGGGCGTCACGTGCTTCCATAACCTCTTTAATAACTGCTCCAAGCGTCCGGGTCCCCTCCCGGAACCGCGAGACCCACTCAGCTCGCTCCTCGGCATCCCGATGCTGAAGCCAGCTTAGCCGCTGCGCGGGAGCGACTTGCATGGCGGCCTTACGGGCCCGGTAGTAGTATGCCAGCACACAATCCAAAGGCACCTCGACGAACTGGCAAGAGTTGGCGCCCAGCGCCTTCTCTCCCGCCGGGTCCACTCCCGCGATCACCTGCACCCCGTTGAGCGCGTATGCGATCATAAGCGTGTGGAGCTTGTGAAGATATGTGTCCACATCCCGAGCGACGACCTCGTCGACTTCGGGCTCGTCGGTGTAGAGGCCATCAGCCAGCTTGCGCCGCTTTTGTGAGGTGCCTAACTGGAATTGTAGGGATCGCACTCGCCATACGTCATATATACAAAGCATCCTTTTGGAAAGTTCCCGAGAGATGCGGGAGACTGTTGCGTCGGAGGGTTGCACTTCGGCAGGAAAGCGCAACTTGTAGCGAATCCAAAAGGCTTCCTTCAGCGTGCGAAGTTCGGAGTCCGCCAACATCGAGTCGAGGTCGGCCAAGGCAACCTTAGAGCGGTCTTGCTCCGCCTGGGTGTAGTATGTGCATGTTGCCTTCCACGCCCTACGGAGGCGGGCGGTCTGCAACATAGTGGCGTCCCCTAGCCCCAACTTCCCCACCCAGGTACCTATCGCCGCCTCGTTCTCGAATAAGAAGCGAAACTCCTCGAGGTGGCGGATCCCAGTGCCGAGCACTTCTGCGACCACCTTGGCGTCCAAACCGAAGTTCAGCTGCAGGCTATCCATGCTCGCCTTAATGTCCTGCTCCACTCGAGGGACAAGCGAGACTGACGACATGGGGCCTACGTCGAGGTCGACCCCCCGAAGAGCCTGCACGAGGGTCAAACTCCCAGCCTATCGCCAGACTCCGCGATCCCCTCGGTCAGCTCCGAGGTTGCGGTACCTTCGAGCAAGGCGAGGACCAACTGACCGGACCGAGAAGAAGAGAGAGAGAGGGGAAAGAGAGAGCAGCAAGCAGCAAGCAGGGAAAGGAGGGTGGGGGCTAGGGACAAGGTGCAGGCACTCAGTCACGACTGCATCACCACAGCCACTGCTCCTACACTCCGCGCCCGCAGCCCTCTTTTTCTCGCTTCTCTTGCTAAGATACGGTACCAGCCACGGCGGGCACACGGGCTCTTATGCGGCACCCGCAAAATAGATTTGCTGGTGGCGAACTGGTCGACTTCGAATTACCGGCATGTCGTGGCGAAAGCCTCGCTTCGTCGAGGTGCCTATACCGGAAAATACTTGGAGGATGCTCGTGAAAAGCAGCCCTCGCAGATGGGTCGCTCCCATCCGATGGCCTCTAGCTTGCTAGTCGTGCGCTGCGGGTTGGCCAACCGGCGCCTCTCAATACCCTGCTTGTGCTTGCAGATAGGAACGCCTTCCTCCGGGGACTCGAGGTGGAGGTGCGAGCTCGCAGTGGCGATATATCCGCGTGGCTGCACCGGTGTCGGGGGGACACGTGTGTTACGCACGGCCCCGGCCAACCACGAACCCAGGCTGCGGTCTTGCTGGATAGCGCGATCCACCTCGATCTGTCTCACCCTCAGGATCGCCTGATTCGCCTCCTCCTGGGTCTCGCCTGCCAACACCGCCCGGCATGCGACGCCGGTAGTCGCGGCTCTGTGCCGGCCCGCCATACAGTGGAGTAATACGTTGTGGCCCGCCAGGAGCGTGCGTGCGATTGCACCGAAGATGCGGAGCCACTCTTCCTCCCGGGACCGCCTGGCAGAGACGTTGAACAGCAGGTTCCGGCTGCACAGGGCTATGCCGCCCCGTTGTTCCGGGGTTTGATCCATACAAGTAATCTGCAAATGGATCGTCGGGAATTGGCCACTGGTTTCCCGCAGCGGCAAGCCGGACAGGAAGAGACGCCCTCCTGCCGGCGATTCCCAAATACAGGTAGGGCGCTGGACTGGGCGCCTGCCCCCAAATTGTCGAAGACCGCCTGGTTCTCAGCCTCTATGGGGTTTGGCGCCGGCGGGGTCCTGAAGGCCTTGGGCATGGCTTTGATCTTCGGGGCAGGTGAGCTGCCCGAGCCCCGAGCCGTGGAGCCTGAAGCTGCTGCCGTGTCACCCCGGCGTGCTGGAGCCGGTGACTCGCGCCGGGGACCCACACCTGATCCTGCCCCCCAAGGTAACGCCCCAAAAGGCGAAGTCAGGGGAAGCGGGGGAGCCACATCACCACCTGGCACCACCCTCCTTCTGGAATCTCGCCGGCCATCACCCTCGGCCGGTGCGTCGGCTGGACGCCGTCGGGAAGCAGGCGCTGGCTCAGGCGATTGTCCGGGGACGACATAGCCGGGAGGTAGGCCATATTTCTTGGTGCGGCAGTCCAGGGCCGCATGCTTCCCGCCGCAGACTCTGTTTGTGGCGACCGATATAAGGCGGCATGGGGGAACCTGGTGCGGGCAACTCCGCAGCCGCCGAGCTAGGCCGGGCCGAGCTGCTCGCCACTGCTTTAGGCTCGGCCCTTCGCTTCGACCGCAGCTTCGCCAGAGGTAGCACCGGGCCGGCCAAAGACTTGCGTGCAAGAGGGGCGGCCAACCTCATGGTAAACTTCTTGGGCTTGTGCGCGGCGAAGGCTGGTCCCTGCCACAGGAGCTCCTTGTCAGCCCTGACCTGTTGGTCGCACAAGGACCGAGCCAAAGTCGTGTGCTCCGCGACGTCCTGCGGGGTCACCGTATCCCACGTCGGATAGGGGCGCAACTCCCCCATGTAGGCCCACACCAAATGCTTGACTCGAACGCTCTCCTTGTAGCGCAACCCACTGTAGTGGACGGGCATGGCACTCCTCTGGTCAGAGACTCGATCCTGCCAGTCCCCAAGGGCGTTCGACTCGCCCGGCGTAAGCTGCGCCAGCATAGCCACAGAAGGGCCCAACCGGCGCCAGCTATAGGAGGTCAGCTCCTCCGGATTGGCCACCACATCCGTGAAAGCCGCCTGCACGGCCAGGGTAGACTCCTTGAGGGACCACGAGAAGCCCCGAGCATCGAAGCATAGCCCACACTGGCTCCGCCGGCCTTTGGGCAGGGCCTCGAAGGCTTCTTTCCAAGGTTCGGTCCAGTTCCATCCAGAAGCGAAAGCTGCCGGAATAGCAAAGTAAAACCCCTGCCGTAGGCGGCGCTGCTTGCCCTTGTTGCAGAAGGCATGCACGGTCGACCCCGTGATGCGCAGGACCTCGCTTCGGCGAAGGTGGGCATACCGCATGCAGCTGGAGGCCTGCATCCATTGCCCCAGCATCGCAGTCCACCGAGGGTCGCCCATAATGCACCGGTCCTCAATAACCTTCTCCAGGTGGACCAGCATCGGAGGTTCGGCCAATGTGGCCTGACGCTCGTCCCTAGGCTTGCGGCGCTGGTCGGTCCGGGGTGCGTCCGGAATCTTCCAGGCGAGCTCCGCCTGCTTGGCAGCCCACCGCAAGCCCGCCACAGCACGATGAGGAGCGGCCGAGTTGAATATAAAGGCGTCCAGGTCCAGGGTGTCCACCTCTTCCAGCCCGTCTCTGCCCCGGGCAACCTGGAAATGCTGAAGCTCGCGGAGGGAGACCACGGCCTTCTTGATCGTGGCCACTTCCGCTTCGCTGCACACTTTGGCAGCACGACGCCTCACAAAGTTCTCCCACTCAGCTTGGCGTCCCGCGTTGAGCTCACCGCTCGGGCGCTGAACCTTGGCATCTACCCACAGGTCGGCGAGTTCCTCGACCAATGGTGTCTCCAAGGCAGCGCGCTCCACAGGCGTGCGGGCTTGCAGCGGTGCCTTGGGCACGGCTGCCCGCCGCCGCGGCAAAGGCGGGCGGGGCTTTGTGGAAGGTTTGGCCGCCGCCGCTCCGGCTTGGGCCGCTTCGTGGGCGAATGCCAGGGCCTTGCCTTCATCAACCCTCTCCCGGACTTCTTTCCACTCTGCCGCGATTTCTGCACCGGCCTGGCGCTGTGCCTCCTCCGCCGACATGAAGACATAGGCGAACTCCTCGTCATCTGCCAGACCAAAAGCGCGGCGCCACGCATCCACCCGGACCTCTACCGGGGTACCCTCCCCGAAGAGTCCGGAAGACGGGCCGGGCTGGCCATCGCCATCTCCTGCCGCCTCAAGCGACTGCTGGGCGTACACACCGGCCATCGCAGCTGCTAGCAGAGGCCTGAGCCGAGAAGCCGCCGTGGAAGATGATCGTGAAGGCCGGGCAACGGCAGAAGCAGGGCAGGAGTACGACTCAAGACCAGGCGGGTCGCCACCGCCGAAGACAGCCCCAGGTCCACTCCTGGTTGCAGCCCTAATTCCAGGGCATCGGGGGTCGCCACCCCGGTATAAGAAGATGCCTGCGGTCGGCTCCTGCCGGTCATAATAAAGGGAACGCCCCTTCCAGAATCGCCCATCATCACAGGCACCGAATGCAGCGGCCCAGGCAGTCTCCACAAGCCGCTGCGTCACACCGCCGACAGCGGAGGACCGTTGGCACCCCGCAGCTGTGGCAGGCTGCTGGCAATAGTCCCGGCCCGTAAGCCACGGCCCCAAGCCACAGCCAGATGGTCCTATGAGCCCGTGATCTTTCATCCTCCCGGGCAGCCTCCCAAGAAGGGACCTCGACTCCGGGCTCGATCCACACCCTCCTCCCAGCTTGCCACCGCCTGAAAACGATCCAGAGCTCGGCTGAGCTGGCTGCCCGAGGGTGGGTCTGTTCTGCCACCCGAGAAAAGAGCGCGTAGAGGTGGTTCGGCAGCAGGTCGGTAGGCCAAAGGCCCGAATGAAGGGCCGTGATGTCGCCCGGCGACAAATAGGAGCGGCATGCATGGTAAGCACTCCACGCTTGAGCCGGGTCACTCCCTGGACGGACAATCGCTGCAGCATGTGTGAATGTACCCACAAAAGGCAGCTGGAACCCTCCGCGGCTCTGGGCGCACCGGGCACAGTCCATGTCGACACACGGGACCGTGCGAATAGGTGGCAGACCTGCAGGTAACCCGTCGAGCAATGGAGGGGGAGGAGGGTAATGTTGGATCTCGAGAGCTGATGCCCACAGCCTGGCTGCATCCAGATTCCGACCCTCGGAAACCAAAAACCGAAGCTGAGCCCTGAGATCCAGCATAGCCGCTGGGTGCAACACCTGGGCCTCGGTATGCACCGCGAAGCGGCTGATAACATAGGCAAGAACCTGTACATCAGGTGACTCCTGATCAAAGACATGTGCCATAATAAGCGGGTCGACTCCGCGAGCTAATGGCAACAAATCCTGCCTTTTTGGCTCAACTGCCAAGGCTTGAACCAAAAGGCATGATATCGATCGCAGATGATACATGTGCACCCAAGCCTGCCAAACTCTACACATGGTATATGCATTTACAGAGGACATATATGATACAGAATACAATTATGCACATATACCAAGACTAAGAGAGAGGTTAACTCCGCCGTGCATAAATCTGTTCGATGCTGTAACCCTCATGCACCCTTAGAGGCATCTCGGCGGCCGTTGGCAAGCCGTTAGTTGGTTGAGGCCGCCACGAACTACCCGCGGGCTGCGCAGGCTCCAACCTCACTGCCATGCCAAACAAAAACGGTTGAAATTATCAGGTACTGTTATGCGCTATATAAGCCGCCATTTTCATGTTGCATACTGATACGAACAGCAACACCGAAAGTGATGTCAATACGAGTATGATTTGTCAAAGGAATACAAACACTACCCTGCTTCATTGGAGCAGAGGCATTCATGCTTATGGAAATGCCAATGAATCTGATATCCATCCACCTGTAAAGGCAGATATTGGCTTTCAAGAAGTATACCCATCTATACATATGTATGTACATGCAGGTCACAGATGCTACAAAAGCCTGACCGCGGATGCAAGCTGATTGGTCAAGTGAGAAGCTGAGCTGCACGACAGTGCCGTCAGCTTGCCCTTGACCTGGCATGTCTCGGGCCTATGATGACAATGCTTGAAAGTAAGACTGTTTCGCCAATTTCCAATACCAGATGAGATAAGCCTGCCCAGAATAGAGCTGCCGAGATCACTTGAGATGATACTTGCAAGTGAAGGACTCAGGTTGAATAAAAGCTACCAGCAAGCCGAAGTCCGAGGCGGCGCATTTGTCATGGCTCTCAAGCGGCTTCTTTGGTTCCCTCAGGAAGCAGGCTGCTTAGCAGGCCATCCTCCGACAAGAAACGATTCGCGACCTCTCCGCTTCTAATGGCATCCACCTTACTACGGCTAGAGTTGTGTTGCTATGATATAGCTGGCTACTATTGCCACAATATCGCTGTTTTGGCAGTATATCCAATTACGACGACGGCGAAGTCAGGACCACCACGACCGCGACGACCACCACCGCCACCACCACTGTTACCACCGCTACGATCACGACCACGACCCCGGCGACGACAACCACGACGACGACTGCTCCGACTCCCACGAAGCGGCTACCACCACAGCTACAACTACGGCTACTACTGCTGCTGCTGCCCCTATACTCCAACCAATTCTACATACTGCTACTCCTCTTCCTCCTCCTACGACTACGACTACGACTACGACTACGACAACGACAACGACTACGACTACGACTACGACTACCACTACCACTACCACTACCACTACCACTACCACTACGACTACGACTACTGCTACTGAAACTGCTACTGCTACTGCTGCTACTACTACTACTACTACTACTACTACTACTACTACTACTACTTCTACTACTACTTCTACTACTACTACTACTACTACTACTACTACTACTGCTACTACTACTACTACTGCTACTGCTACTGCTATGCTACTGCTACTGCTCCTGCTCCTGCTGCTCCTGCTCCTGCTCCTGCTCCTGCTCCTGCTCTGCTCCGCTCCTGCTCCTGCTCCTGCTCCTGCTCTGCTGCTGCTGCTGCTGCTGCTGCGCTGCTGCTGTGCTGCGCTACTACTACTTACTACTAACTACTACTACTACTACTACTACTGCTACTGCTATGCTACTGCTACTGCTACTGCTACTGCTACTGCTACTGCTACTACTGCTGCTACTACTACTACTACTACTACTACTGCTACTGCTACTGCTACTGCTGCTACTGCTACTGCTACTGCTACTGCTCCTGCTGCTGCTGCTGCTCGCTACTACCATACTACTACTACTACTACTACTACTACTACTACTACTACTACTACTACTACTACTACTACTACTACTACTACTACTACTACTACTACTCCTACTACTACTACTACTACTGCTACTACTACTACTACTACTGCTACTACTACTACTACTCCTCCTGTAGATTTATCCCCTCTTCTACCGTTTATCAATACAATCTGCAACCAGGCCACCGTGTGCCTATGAGGAGCAGTCATTCCCTGGGTCTGCGGATCGTTCAGGCGATCTACCGGTTTACAGGTGAAGCCAGAGGCACAACAGGGCCTCCCGGGTAAGACAAACCTTGCGCAGTGTCGATGCGTTTTGCAGGGACATACGCGCACGAGATTTATTCCGGTAGGTGGAGCGACCCCTCCCGACCTTGGCACATGGAGCACAACAAAGTGGTGAAACTAAAAGTGGAGCTTCTTCTTGAGAATGGTCGGCAAGCTCTGTAAGAGATGGTTCTTGAGGACTGTTAGGTCTTTCACCGTCGCATTGTTTGACCCACGCAGGAGTAGTACTTCGTTTAGGAAATCCTGGAAGTGAATGTAGGGGTCCCCGTCGAAGATGATGTTCGGGTCTTTCACCAAGGCAATGAGGTCGACGCCGACGTCCTGCAGCACGGCAGGATCAGGTCAGGGCATGACAGTTATGCTGTATGCGATCGGCAGTCCTGAAGCACACCGATGGCCTGATCGTTCTGGAGCAACAGGATGAACTCCTCCTGATCACGAGCGATGTTCGGAGGGCTCTCCCATGGAATCAGCAGAAAGCTGTGGGGAGGGGGGGGGGGGTGGGCGCGCCTGAGTGATCGTGTCACCCTCCGTGCCCAGCGATTGTTTTGCCCAGTGGAGTTCCTCCTTTAAGTTCCGAACGACACGGCCCTCTTGTTCTGCAGTAGCTACTACTCGAACTACCTCGACCAACACACCCAGGAGCAGGTTCATGATCGTCAGTGGGGCGATGAGTATGAAGACTGCAAAAAGGCTCCCGACAATGATGTCATCCTGAAAGGACAGCCGCGCCATGGAAGCCAGATCATTGTTGAAGCAACCGTGAAAAATCAGGCTGAACATGGCCGCCGGAAGGGTGCTGTAGTAGCTGGTGCCTGCATCTGTGCCCACTGCAATCTGCGAAAGAGCAATCGCGAAGATGTAGACGATCATCAGTCCCAAGATCACCGTGAGGATCACTGATCGAAGTGCTGCTCCGATTGCACGGACTAGGATCATGACCTCTGGCAGAAATCGGAGCATCCGCGCAATCCGAGCCACACGGGTCAGCCGGAGCAGTCGCAACATCCGCATGATCGAGGAGTCGAACCTCAGGGGCTCTCGATGGCGTGGCTTTCCATGCTTGTGCAGGGATATCTAGAGGGCTTTATACAGGCTCCGAGCGAGTTCAATAGGCTTTCATGCTAAGGGGTTGGGAGTTTGGGGGTGTGATTCTACAGTTCTACAGACTGACCATACTTCTTCTCTGGTCGCTGGGCATTTCACGACAGCACTCACAGCAACCTAAAGGCTGGGGCCCGAACAAAACTAAGTCCCCGCCGGTCGCGGAGAGGATCACGAAGAATACCCAAGTCTCCAACACCATGAAGAAGGCTAGGAAGAAGTCATAAATGAACCAGAAGTCCCGGAGCGCACGGAGCTTCGACTTGAAGGCAAAGAAGCGGACAATGATTTCAAAGCTGAAGGCTATGCACAGCATGTTCTCAACGACGATAATTCCTGGATCAGCGTTGATCAGCAGCGCGCTTTCATTGATGGTTGATTCGATGCCTATCCAAACAGAGTTGAGCAAGATGATGGTCATGGTCGTGTGCTCAAAATATGGCGAGCGAGCCAGCTTTTGAGCACAGCCCGTGGTGTGATAGTGCTCGGTGGCAATGTAAGAAGGCTCAGCAAATGCATCTCGCATTCGAGTTTTCATGTCGAGTGCTCTTAGCTTGCTGTTCAACATCTTCTTTTTCCTCTGCTTTTGGCTTTCTTTGAGATACTCTGCTTTGGGGTCGACCGCCTCCTCCTCCTCATTCTCAGATTGCTCTGGCTGCCGCTGGCTCACCCTTAAGTCACCTCTGAACTTGCGGTGCCCGCCCCTCACGGCACCGGGGAGCTCGACGTCCGAATCGGAGGAGGTCTCGTCCTCGTCGTCTTGCCCGACTGGCTTTCGGATGCCCAGCTGGGGGTGGTGGGTGCTTGCCCATGTTTCCAACACGGTCTGTGCCCGCTCCAGTCGATTCAGCACCTCCGGTGCATTCAGAGGTGCAGAGATCATGGGTGTGGCAGGAGCTGGGGCCGGACCCAGCAGGGTGCCTGGTGTCCCTCCTGCACCCGCAAATCCCACAGCAACTGAAACGCCGTTGGCAGCTAGAGGGGTTGGGGCGGCCGAAATGGGCATGGGGCTGCTAACCCCAGTGACCACGGGTCCCGAAATGGTACTTGCGTTGGTTCCGTGGTTTCCGGTCTTCATGATCAGCGTCTGGTTTCCAAGGGCACGCATGGCCGCAAGCTGCTCACGAAGCTGAAAATTTTCGGCCTCCGCCAAACGGCAAGCAGTGTCACGCTCCACTAAGAGCTTCTTACAGTGCTCCAGCTGCGATGGGCCGCTGGCCTTTTTCGGCCCTTTGGCTGCTACCAGCTCGTTTCGCAGCTCCTGCAGCTCTAAGTCTCTCATCTTTTCGGCCTGCTCCTGCAAGTCGAGCATGCGCTTGATCTTCTGCGCATGCAGGATGAAGATACCGTTCATCTCCTGAAAGGAGAGCAATGGCAAGAGAAACCTCTGTTCCGATGCCGAGGGCTGTGATCTTTAACTTTGGAATGGCTACATTGCTGCTTGAATGGCGCCAGATGGTCACTAGCAAGCTTATAAAAACTTATGCGACCGTATCATCGCACTGCTAAGACGTGTGTTGCCAGCCCTCAACCCTAAACCCCAATCCATAAGCCCGACTTGCTCCGGTACTTTTGACCCCTCCATGGGCGGACGTGTTCAGCCAAGTGAAATCCCCCTGAAAGCACAGGATCTCTGCCCCAGATCGTCCAGAAAAAACACAAAACCACCCCTGAACCTATACTACCTTGGGGGGTTCCTTGTTATATAGTATAATGGGCCCCGAAACCCTATTCTAATTATTAAGGCCCCGAAACCCAAAAAAACCGAAACCCTGAAACCCAAAACCTTCTCGTACGTCCTCCAGCTGATCGTCAAGCACTTGACGCATCGCTGCAACAGAGGCCTTGTGCACCTTCAAAACACACACGACATACTCTTTCTATGATGTACCATCGCGTACTTTAATAGTGCAGCACAGTATACTGTAAAGAATGAGAACACATTGTTGAAGGGGGACGTCCCTGAAAAGCAAAGGGTTGAAGAAGAAATCTCTAGAAGGATTTAGATTAGGGGTGGCATCAGGGAGTAGGCTTCAACGGTTTCTGCTCCCTGCTGTATGCTTATGTGCTCTTTTGGTCCCCCTTAACCCTAAACCCTACTTGGAGGTTCATGGGGAGTTATAAGTGGGGTTATAAGTAAGGTAACCAGGGTTATAACCCATATTAGGGGGGACTTACAACCCCTATGTTTACCCATGAACCTCCAAGTAATAAACCCTAACCCTCAACCCAGCCTTCTGCTTCGGCAACGGTGCTATCTCCTGAAGAAGCTTCGGCGGCTTCGGGGGCTTCTCCTTCTTCGAGCCATCCTTTGGCGTGTCCATCCGGCGACCTCAACGGGAAACCTACGGACCCCCTCGGCCCGACATCTGAGGCTGAAACGGCTCCATGGAGAAACTCATCTGGTGCAGAGTTTCGTACATCGTCGAAACACCCTCGCAAAAAGCCTGGAAAAGCAATAGAACCCGTATGAACCATTTGAAGCCTCCTGTTGAAAGCCTGCGAATTTCGCAGAATGAAAACCTTTGTAACTTCGCCGCGGCGGACATCTTGCAGCTGCTCCTCGCGCTCACGATCGGAGGCCTGTCACTTGAGAATTTCAGAAAAATGAGGCCCCTGTACTTCAGGGCCAAGGGTTGAGGGTTCCCCTGACAGCGGCTGCCGCTTTGCCTGCGCGAAGTCTTCCTGCACTGCCCAGGTGTGTCGCGAGACCTCTAGGATGGTTTAGGGTTTAGGTTTTTGTGAGGGCTCTCTTCCAAATGCAACTGCTGCTAGAATTCCTCCATGGTTACAGCAGGGCTTAGGTTGATCGTGCAACTTCGTGGGGGCTTCACCTGATGTCACTGATCCCAAAACCCTTAACTGTATCACAACAGCGCTTGCAAGTCTGCATGGCCGAGAGGGGCACGCTGCTCGGCGCGTAGTGCATTGGCTCGAACCTTTTTTGCCGATGGGAAGATTGCTAGTGACAGCAGCATGGAATCACAAGTAGACTTCATGTGCACGTTGCCAGAGAGGGGCTGAGGCCATAAAGGAAGATACCTGTTTTAGTAGCAGCAACAGCAGCAGCAGCAGCAGCAGTAAACACCGTAGTGTGTTCAATGTCAGCGCAGAAGTATCGTATAATTAGCAATAGGTGGTGACAATCTGCAGCAACTTATAGTTTTCTTATGGAAAACCCTAAGAGATGACAGAGTTGCTTGTAGCAACGGCATGTCTCAACGATCACCAGGTGGAAAAGAGGCAACCCGGGCGCCGGACGTAGTCTTCACCGCAGTCATGCGGGTCTGACAGAGACGCAAGAAAGATCACTCAAAGGCTCATGGGACTTAGTAACTAAGGTCATAATTAGGGTAACTGTACTTATAACTACTTACAACCCCGATGAAGGTACTTATAACCTGACTTACTAAGTCCCATGATCCTCCAAGCATGGCTTCAAGCTCGGGCTTCTTTGTCCCTGGGCCCGTATACCCTAATCTCTTATAGAACCCATATGGATCCCTTATAGGAGCCCTTATGGTATTATGGTACCCTTAACTCAAGAGTACAGCAGCAACCAGGCGGACTCCCGGGTTTCCCCCGAAACTTTCGGGTTTAGGGGTACTAAGACACATAAAAGAGCTGCCATAAGGGTTCCTGTAAGTGTTGGGTTACTTCAGGGTTACTCTAAGGGTTACGAAAAGCGTTACCATACGGATTACTATCAGGGTTACGAATTACGGTCGTTATCAGGGCTAATATAAGGGCTCCCATAAATTGCTCTAAATGGTTACTACAAGGGTTCAGGGTTTCGGGCTTGTTAGGTTCTCTAGGCTCTGGCCTGAGCCCGGGCCTGCTCCATGATCTTCCTCTTGGCCTGCAGGCGGGCGCGGGCGATTGGCGCTTTCCAGCTTGAGGGTTTAGGGTTTGGAAGTTTAGGGTTTGGGGTTGTCGGCTCCCGGGTTTAGGGCTTAGGGTTCAGGGTTTTGGGTTCTAGGCTTTAGGGTTTAGGCTGTTCAGGGTTTAAGGCTCAAGGTTTAGGGTCTGGGGCGTCGGGTTTTGGGTGTTTGGCGTGGGGTTTTGGGTTTAGGGTCTGCTCAGCTCGGTGGAGCTTAAACGACGAGCTAAGCGCACCTGGTCGATGTCCTCGCGGTTCGGCACTGCATCACGGGTCATGTCCAGGGTGCTGGCCTGGGTGAAGCGGTTTTGGGGCTTAGGGTTTAGGATGTAGGGTTTGGGCTTGTGGTTAGGGCTAGGCTATGTCAGAGCTTTGAGTGCGCCACTGGCACCATCGCTTCGAAGGTGCCTCGGACAACTCAGTTGCTCCCTTGACGCACGGTCAAGCAGAACCCTTACAGCTGATGGACAAAATCATGAAGGAATAAGCCATAACTTACATAACTCCTGCAGGTTCGGGTGTTGGAATGTAGTGCAGTCCAGGATTTCGTCCATCAATTGATGTGAGAGCCTGCTTGCGGCTCCGCCATTGGAGGAGCCGTCACTGTCCTGCGAGAGATGCACATATGACCACAAGCAAACCGAAGCTGCAAAAATGTGCCACAAATCAGCCATGGAATTCCGTGTCAGTGCAGATAGCTGGCACCATCATGTGCATCGGGCTCCTCTGCCCTCCAAGCGCCATTTGCAACATCTGCTTCATCTCCCTTAGCACATTGAGTTGTCCCCACTTCCCTGGAGCATGAAGCTGGGCATCTTGCATGTCAGATCCCCAAAGATCCAACAAACAAGAAATGCTACTTGCTGTCAGGGAGCGCCATCTCATGCTGCAAATAGTCCAGACGCCTTGAAATCAGGGTAAAAGCCAGAAGAGATTCAATCCATGACTCCCCTCCCTCCCTTCACATGCGCTTGCTCTCTGTCACGATTTCTTTCTCTTCCGTTTCGTTCTGTCAGCCAGATTGTCTTCAGCCAGGCAGCTGAGACTGCGCGTGCTGCGATTGGAAGAGGTAGCTGAAAGCGTTCGTCCTGGGTTCTCAAGCCGCGACAGATGAGGTACCCTAAACACTGGGCCGCACTCAGACAGATCGCTACAGGCTAGGTATATACCCTTAATATTGCCATTATATAGCCATTATATAGCCATTATATAGCCCATTATAGGGTAGGGGTCCCTGGGTCACCTCAGGCGAGCCGAGCCGCGGCGTCGCCACCGACACTGCCCCATTCATGGAACTGCGTCCTGGAACGGACAGGTCCAACTTGCGGCAGCTGTCATCTTCAACTGTAACTTAGCCTTAACACATCTTAATGCATCGGTTTTTAAAAAAAACCTAAAAACCTATGTTGCTTAAAAAGTCTTAACATGCGCAGCATTAGTTGAGGTTGTGTGATGCAACTGCCACGTGTCCTGACGGGATGCTCCGGATGAGGGCATCGTTCTGGGCCCTGGAAAGTCTGGAGGGTAATATAGGGGCCTTAATAATTAGACCAGGGTTTGGGGCCCAACTCTACTACAAATAGATTAAGGAAGCTCCAAAATAGTATAGGTAATTATTAAGGCCCCTGTACTGGACGCGAAAAGCCAGCGGCGGGCGCCAGCAGGCACACGAAGGCAGAAGCAACAAAGCCCCCCAAGCGAGGCGCGCGGACCACTGAAACTGCACCTGCATCGGGTGCCTGTGGCGTTGAGGTTTGGGATGTTCACGTAAAGCGGTGTGAAGAGATGTTGCAGAGTGCAAGGTAAGGCCGGAACGGAGCACTCACCACGCGGACCGGGGATGGGGTGCGCTCATTGGAGGACGTCTCGACGCGCCGATAAACCGAAGGCTGCGGTGCTGGGCTGCCTTGGGGCACTTGCTGGGACTGTGGCAGCGAAACCGGCTCTGCAGGTGCTGCTGGCCACTGCTGCGCTGCCTGCGCCGCCTGCGCTGGCTGTGCTGGCTGCTGCACCGGCTGCATCTGCGGCACGGTCTGGGCCTGTGGAGGCTGCAGGTGTTGACCTTGCGGTGCTTGCATGACTGGCACTGTGTGGGCGGGCTGTGCTTGCGGTGTCACTTGCGGCACATGCTGCACCTGTGGTGCTGTCTGCAGAGCTGGCGGTGCTGCGGCTGATGGCTGCAACGTTGGCATGCCACAGTAAGTGACAAGCGGCGGCTGCTGCTGCCGTTGATACTGCTGTTGGGCCTGCTGCTGAGTGTGCTGCTGCGCTTGCTGCTGAGTGTGCTGCTGCGCTTGCTGCTGCGCTTGCTGCTGCACTTGCTGCTGCGCTTGCTGCTGCGCTTGCTGCTGCGCTTGCTGCTGCGCTTGCTGCTGCGCTTGCTGCTGTGCATGCTGCTGTGCATACTGCGCATGATGCAGCTGCTGTTGAATCGCCGTTGGTCGATAGACTGGGGCAACAGTCGGCGCTTGGTAGACAGGAACGCCCATGTTAAAAGTGTCCGCCACCGGCATGTTTGCATGCACCTGCAGCTCACATCGGGAGATGCACGCGATCGTTGACATAGGGCTTCTCTAATTTATGGGTCCCTTCAAGCTCCTCATCATGCCTGCGTGAGAGAATTACCATAGCACCTATCGCCCTCTTCTTCGGCAACTATGGGAAAGGCTGCCTCGGACGAACCAATAGAAAAGTGATGAAGCAAGGAATCGTCAGGCGCACTTCTTGGGTGCACAGTCTTCTGGCATCAAATCTACTGGAAACGATTCTCGACAGCAGAACTCTAACAACACAAGGCTGCCTCAGGACGGCAGAATTGCTATCAGAACTGCTCAAGCTACTGATTTTTCGCGAAGTGATCAGGATGAAGTTCTACCGACGAGTACTTCAATTAGTCTGAGTCAGTCAACGGACTTTGGCGGGAGACCCCTCTATCCATGGAACAGTGGCAATGAGCACAAACGTTTGTGGACGTTGCTGTGCATGTAATCATGACAGTGTGCCATGTTCGTGATTTCAGCATCACGTGAGCCATGGCAGCTCTTATCGCCAATCACAGCATTGCGGTCCACATACACATGCAAAGTCTGGATCAAGCTATCCAGAACCTTTATTCCTTTTACAAAAGTCTCATGACCAGCCGCCGGCTGAGAAACTGCCAACCGCATCACATCGGAAGCAAACAACCCTAAGACGTAAAGCGCACGAATCCCTGCGAAGCGCTACCTCCGTTTGGATCGCACCAGGCGCGGTGCGAGGTGGTCCGTAGACCGGGACTGCCGCTGGCTCGGGGATCACCTCCATGACCAAGGACCAAGCTCGGAGACAAAACACGTCGAGGGATGTCTCTTTACTGCCTAGCAATACCTATAGGTGCGCCCGCAGGTGTTTGTGAGTATGTTGTATGCCAATATATGCGCCTGCGCACAGACACACCTACATCTGCTAATGTTCCAAGTGTAGGCATGCGCCCAAGAATTCACCACATATAGCTGAGCGCATACATCGCCATGCGTGTATACGTGCATACCATCACATATGTGCATACATGCACTCGTACATTGCATACATACATACATTCATTCATTCATGCATACATGCATACCTACATACCTACATACCTACATACATACGTGCGTACGTGCATACAGACGTACATACGTTGAGCTTTACAGCTTCTCGCTGCAAACGGGCTATCGAGGACAGCTTACCCGAGCTCCAGCCGTTCGTGATTGGACTATATACCAAGTTGGCTGGTCCGAAACTAATATATGAACAAATAAAATGAGCAAGCATTACTGTGCATGTGTCGATGTGCAGTTTAGGGTCTGATCGTGCATTCGTTTCTGTTCGAAGTTTGAGTTGTTTAGGAATCCCTCAACCCCCAAAACCCCATATAACCCGATATACCCTTAAATCTCAACCCAAAACTTCCCCCTAAACCCTATAAACCCTAAGCTTAGGCCGTCGTAGGCTTATGATCTGATGCTCCCAGGGCCTGCTGAAGTCTGTGGGCAGCCAGGGCCTCCCAGCGAGAGCCCAGAGTTTTGGGCTTGGTGTCTTGGGTTTACGGTTTAGGATTTACAGTATAGGGTTTAGGGTTCAGGTTGTAGGCATTTAGGGTTTAGGGGGTGTTTGTGTTTGAAAGCCGGAGAGCCTCAATGAGGCAGGGTTTGGTGTTTAGGGATTGGGATTTAGGGTTTGGGGTTTACAGTGTAGGGGTTTGGAGGTTAGGGCTCGGTGGGGTTAGGGGATTGGGTTGAGGGTTTACAGGATTAGGGCTTCGAAGCCTGTAGAACCCAAGGCTTTCCCTGTCTTTTCCTTCAAGCCTGACAAGGGTTTCCTTGGATGTTTCGGTCGTTGCTGGAGGGCTCAGTTGCACTGAAGCTGTAATCTGACCTTTGGGAGCTTTCGGGCTTTTTAGGAATGAGGTTGGCAGGTTTCGGACTTTGCGGGGGTGTTCTGCTGATGTGGGAGCTTCCGAAAATAGGGGACCCAAATATAGTACCTTAAATAGTAGGATGCTTATTATAGGGACCCCAAGGTAAGTAGCCCTAATTTTCGGAAACTCCCATGTTTGCTTCGAGGAGCTTGGAGTTTACGTCCGCGTGCAGGGTGGTCCGACGTGACGAGTCCCTTTTTGTTGGCCTTCTCGAACTCCTCGCGCGAGAGGCCACCATCCTTGTTCTGGTCAAAAGCGTTAAAGATTGCGTCGACCTGTCACTGCGAGCTTTAGGGGTTTTGGGGTTTAGGGTTTAGGGTTGCTTGAAGGTGCATGAGGTCCAAGCAGTGACTGCAATCAACCACGAATCCTGTCGACTTCCGCACCGGTCATCGAAGTAATGCAGGGCCTGAATGATTCGTAACAATACTCTGTGATCTTTCAATAAGAGTGGATTGTTCCCCAAACCCTTATTGGCCCGATCGCGCCCTTTCCAACCCTCCGGCCGGCCCCACACGTCGCACCTCGGACTGCAACATGACTCGCGAGATCTCGCAAGAAAGACGGTCCTGCACAGGCAACGGGATGTAGGCTTCAATGGGACGACTGATCTTGTTTTCGATCGACCTATATGCATCTCATGATCATACTCAGTCGCTTGTTTGTTTGTATACCTCTTTTTTACTTCCATTCTCACCATAGACTTGCTTATGTTTGTAAATGTTCTTCACTTGTAACCTTAAGCCGAACCCCGAACTCTATAGACCTGTACATCTGATTCCCCAAACCCGTCAAATCCGAAACCCTGGCCGTTCCATGGCTGCCCCTCCCCCGCCTCGGAGACTCACTAGCACTTCTTCGCGGCCCAGCACTTTGAGCCGAGAGCTGCAGGGGAAGCCAAAAACGCGTTCGCAGGTGGGTAGCAAAAGTACCCAAGAGGCGAAGGGGACGAAACCCGAACCCCCTGCCCGTTCTGGAGGCATGTTTCTCCTCACTCGCCTCTCACAATGGTTGTAAGAACAGGCGCCGCCACGGTGAGGCAGAGCAGAGCACCTCGGGTGTCATGTCCGGAGGTGTCGGGCTCTGGTGCCTTCCAAGTTTCGGGCGATAACACTCCCTTGGTTTTGGGGTTTTTTAGTTCAGGACTTACTGTAGTCGCCATGTACTCGATACGACTGTACGTACTTTCGTGTCTACACCAAAAGCCCTCTTCTGGGGACTTCGGAGTGCAAGGAAGGCATGCCAAAGCTGCCAGCTCTGAGTCGCCGCACCACATGCTGCCCAAAGCAGTCCATGCAGAAGGGGTCCGAGGGCTTCGAGACCTCCCAAAGCAAACGCCCATGCGTCAACATCCAATTCTGGCAGTCTTAATCGCTAGAATGCGGCTCCCGGGATTGGGGTGCGGGGGTATAACATACTATAAGAGTTTGATAGGGACTGTAAGCGATTATATATATATATATATATATATATATATATATATATCCTTATTGTTTATTCAGGCGCCTATAGTACGGGAACCGAAGCAAAGCAACGGGTGCCGCGACATCTCCGGCGCACCTCGAGCTTGAGGAGTCGCACCTATCGCTTGTTCGGGTGATCCCTTCTCTGCCGCTATGAATCTGCACACCAGCGGACCTTCAGGTGGTAAGGGCCGTCTTGCCTAGGTGGCTCACCGAGCAGTTTTCTCGAAGTTCAGGCAGGCAGCCGGGACACCGACGACGGTGGTCATCGCCACAAGCGAAACCAGCACTAACCTGCAAGCCGCTTTGCGGACGGTGAAAGGGAGAGGGACTCACTCTTGCTGCCACTGGGAGCCGTGCAACGTCCACGATACGCCGGCAGCAGAGGCCGACAGAGGCCGATCCTCCACGAAACGATATCGGGCAAAGGCGCTGGATCCCCCTACCACAACCTGAACGCCTCTGCAGCAACTAAGGTATCAGCTGCTCTCTGCATCCATGCAAGGCCCATCCCTCAAGCGCTTCCTAGCTATGGCTTTTCCTCCTAGTTGCGGGAGCAGAGCAGCATCTCCTGCAACTCGGCTGGGGTCGGCAGCCCCTTGCTACGCTGAGTCGCCAGATGCAGCCTTCAACACCACGAGGCACTAGGAACCCCCAGAGACACGCAGTGACGGCGCAACTAGAACAACCAAAGTGAAGTTTGTAACTGCTGACGCAGGTGCCGGCGTGGCTGAGTCCCTGCGACGCTAAGCCGCGAACACGCCACTGATGCCCCCTTGGCCTTCGCCTGACGTCCGTGCGTCTCTGCACACGACCCTGAGACCTCCAATGACTCTCATGACCTGAGCGGCCTGCAGATTGCCTTGATTGAGGTGAGGCTTCGAGAATCAGAAACAAGCCTTCCCTCTTGAGGTGATCTTGTTCCTGGATTTCACTATAACAAGGACCCTACAAGCACATAAGACTTCCGCTGCAAAGGTACAGACCTTAGCCAACCGTCATGTTACCCAGCACGATAACTGCAAGGGACTCCCTTTCGAGTCGAAGCCTAAACTAAACCCTAAAGCCCTAAGTCCTAGACCCCGAAACCCTAAACCCTGAAACCCTAAACCCGTAAACCCCTGAAAGCCACTGAGCCTGCACAGGAGGCTCCGAAGAGCAGGAGAAGAAGGATCAGCGCGTCCGACTGCCCGGCAGAAGCTTGGGGCTTGTGAGGTCACGGCTCCCTGGGGCCGACTTAGGGCTACCTAGGGGGTTCCTTTGATTTAGCGAATGTCCAGTGGCACGTGTCTTTCCCTTTGCAGCCTGGCATCCCTGAGCAGTCTCCAAAGCACGTCTACGGCTGGAAGGCTCGATGCCACATGAGCTTCAGAACGAATATATAGTTGGTTGGTAAAAGCTATCTCATGTTACTGCACCAGATTTGTGCGTGCATGCATATCTCCATAGCTACATACCTACATACTTGGATAGATACATACAACGTTTGCGGCTGTGTGTGTGTGTAGATAAGTGCTAAAGAATGACGATGAGATGGAAAGCCTCCAGCTGGGATCTGATGCGCATCATATTCAGCCGGGCCAGACGCCGCTTCACCTCACATTCACAGTAGTTGCAACGGCTTTTCAGCATCAGAAAAATGTCTTAAGTCACACGATAGTAGGATACATAGTTTCAAACTCAGAAGTGATCGTCTGAAAACGATCACTGGCAACGAGAGGGGTAGTAGTCGTGGCAGTATCAAGATCACGACTCTCTCTCTCTACTCCAGGTACGGCTCGCCATGCTGCTCAAAGGACACCCCTCCAGGCCTGATAGCGCATCAGGTTCGCGGAAACCTGCACAGACAGAGCTGTACGTCAGCTCGATAAGGCCACTGAAGACACGACGCACAGAGGCTCAAGCTGCAGTGGCTGCCACCAGCGGGAATGGAAACCATCTGGACCCTGTCATGGATGTAGCAAAAGAGAGAGTGTCAAGAGTGGACTTCATATAAGCTTGCAGATGTTTTGTCACAGCATGAGGCTATGCACCATCTCCCCAAACCCTCAAATCCGTCCTGTCGCCTGGCCTGGGGTGGTCATATAAACACGCACAGCTGACCCAAGTGGCAGCACATGAGCATCCAGAAGAAAGACCTGTCGGTTTGAGGGCTGGTCTCAGGGTCGAGGCTCGGCTTTAGGGATGAGGGTTTGAGCTTGAGGGCTTAACTTTCAGGGTTTAGGTTTCAGTTTTGTTTTGGAGGGGGTTAGGATTTTGCAATGACATGAAGAGATGTGGATAGTCGATGTGTTGGAAGGACGCATTCCCCACTTTATGCATTCATACTTGGAGATCTGACCCGACTTAGACGTCCGAGCTGGGGGAAGTACTGATATGAAGAATCGATTTGCCGTGATATACATGATCTGTGTCTAGCAACGAGTGGATTGTGATCGCAACTCGGAGAAATTGATGACTAGGAGCCCCTTTAAATAGGCTATCAATGGTAGGATCCTTCTTACCGTGCGGAAACCTCTTCATGCCCTATATACCCATGTGCTTCTGCAGAACTTCCGACTGTAACCCTACTTGGAGGTTCATGGGTGTTACAAATCCCCTAATATGGATTATAAGTATGGTTACCCTACTTATAACCCCACTTATAACTCCCCATGAACCTCCACGTAGCCCGAAACCCTATACCCCTTATAGAATCCCTATAGATCCTGAAGGAACTAGCCCGAACCCCTCCCCCTAAAACCTCCCAGTAGAGCCCGGAGAGCTCTGGGCTCCGGCCTGGCGCCCACTGCTTGCCAGGCGAAGAGCACCAGGGAGGCAGCCACGGCTGCAGAGAGCGGGGGCCTCACCGAGGGATAGGGCTTCGGGCTCACTGTGCTTTTTACATTTAGGTTTTTTTTTTTTGAAAGTGCACATTTAGGGTTTAGGGTTCAGGGTTTTAAGTTTAGGGTTCAGGGTTCAGGTTTTTTGGTGTTTGAGGCTTGGGGCTGAAGGGATCTCGGGGGGTTGCGGGTCTGCGGCTCCGGGGATTCAGGGCTCCTGCCATGAACTCTAAACCCTAACTGCCCTAACCCGAACTCCAAGCAGCCCCAAAGTCGTCTTAGATCCCTTCTTGGGCTCTCCCCTCGCCCAGAATCTAAACGAGGGGCCGCAGCTGGACAGTGACCGCTGGAGCGGGCTCCAAGGCCTCAAGGAGCCGCAACTTTGGGGCGACTTTGGGGGGGTTAGGGAGTTTAGGCTTTAGGGTTTGGGGTCTCGAAACTTTGGGATCGAGGGTGCAAGAAGCCAAAAGCTGCGATCTGTGGAAAATCTGAGGGCAGCTCATCGCGAAGCCAACATCGCAGCCTCGCTGCAGTCCCTGGGGGCAAGGTCTGCACATTCCAGGCGTCCTCAACATGTAAGCCCTCAGCTTACCGTTGGTTAGTAGGGAATGGAGGAACGGGGAAAAATTATAATTACTATTACTACCATTCTTCCATTCCCTACTAACTAAAGGTAAGTCAGTGCACCGGCCCACCGGCCTATGTATCCACGACCTCTCCCAAGGTGGTTCGGCTCCTATAGGAGCACCAAGGAATGCGGGTTTCCATCTCGAGAAAGGCCCAAGTCCGAAACCGCCTCCTTCTTGGACTGGCGTCGCACCTTGCGCAAAGAGCAGCAGAGGAGCTCTCCAAATCTGACCAAGGTGCGCAAACGACTGCATGTATGCATCGATGAGTACATGTACAGGTAGATAGCCAGCTAGCTAGCTAGCTACAATACCTGGCATTCCTAATTTAACAGCGAGAGAGATGCGCACATCTGTACCAGACAAGTAGTATTCGTAAATGCGTGTGATGCCTCCACTTCCCTATCAAAACAAGTCGCACCAGGGACACACGAGGGCTCTGCAAGTTACACAAGAGAGAACCCAGCCTGCTCGGCGGCCGTCTGCTGCTGCCAGTGGCTCAAGACTCTCGTTAATCGTGCTGGCCTGTGCCCACCACAGAGCTTCTCTTCTTCACGAAAGCCCTGAGACCGCACCTCTTTTGGAAGAACCGACGCTGCTGCAGCTGCCGCGCCAAAGCCTGCCATGCAGATGATTCAGAGAACACAATTCCAAAGAAGCCGTGTCCAATCAGATGAATGAACCGAAAGGCTGGTTGATCAGATGGCCCACTTGTCATCCATCGGGAGCAGCACGGATTGGCGTAATTCTTACCCTAATCCTATAGGAGCTATAATTGTGACTAAGTATTCCGAGCCCCTGCATGACAGCCTCGAAGCGCACCGGCACGGGAATTGTTCTTGTGCTCCAAGGTGTGAGGGGGTGGAACACAAGCTCCTGCTGCAAGCTTTAGGGTTTAGGCTTTTGTAGCTGGTCTAGCGTTTAGGGAGTTCGGGGATTGTTTCAGTTTGGGGTTCGGGGTCGTAAGAGTGACGCATCAGGATTGAAGGCTTGAAGGTCTCACGGGACTCCAATTTCGGAAGGCCCCAGCTTGTGGGGCGTTCTACCCTAAACTCGGTTCTTGTTGTGGGATATTAAATTCAAGTTGCGAGAATGAGGGGAACCATATTGTTTACTATATCAGATCCCTATCATGGCAACTTAAACGAAAGTCCTTAACAAGAACCCAGTCAACCCCAAATGCGAAACCTCCGGGTTCGGTCTTTCGGGAGCCTGCACCAGAGGCTCCCTCCAGCGATCTCGAGCATCTAGCCTTGGAGAGAACCACGGTGGCCACTTCGCAGACTTGGGCTTCAGGGCTTATGGCCCAGCCGAGAGCTTTGAAGATGTGGGGTCGAAGGACGTTTTTTTTTGAGGGTCCGGCCTACGCAAGCCTGCTTGTCTAAGGACGTTTAGGGCTTCGGGCTTGAAGCTCGTTCTTCCGGGGCCCCGGCGCCGGCCGTAACCAACGGCCACTCAGCCTGTAAGGAGGGGCGAGCTGGAGGTCCTGTCAGCGATCGCGCTTGAATTTGGGACTTGGGATGCCAGGCTTGGGGTTTGCCCCAGGCCACTTCAGACTCAATCAGGCCGGGAAGACTGGCACATTGCCATCATCCGGAATGAAGAGTGCTTGCTCCTGGACAGGGTGGAGTACAGTAACCTCAGCAGCAGCCCAAGTCGTGTCCAAACCCAGAGCCCTAAACCTCAAGCCCACAGTGATCCAAATATATGGGCCTTAACAAGTAGAATAGGGTTTTGGGGTACATTGTACTGTAACATCCACAACCCTATAAGGAATCCCCAAAGTAGCATTCTTCTTCTTCAGTAGGTGCAAAGCTCTCCGAGAGCGTACCTCTAGCAAACATGAATTCAACGGTTACTGGCAGTATGTATGTACTCAGGATGCGTATTGCGCCCCTGGCACAGCAATCTGCCAAGCGGGAGGGATTTAACCAGCGCACGTCGCTTCGCGAATGCTAAAAGCTGTCCCCCACTCGCATAAATGACTCAAGACGGCACCGTGGTGCAAGCCTGAGAAGCTGTGTCTGCAAGTCCGCATCACAGCACAAAACCAACGGGAACATGGGAGCAACACCAGTGAAGCTTACCCTCATAGCTGGTGTTGCAAGCCAGCTTGTGTGCCAATTGTCTTACCGTACATCCGCTGACCACTCATCTCACGGCAAGCCATGCAATGCTCACTCCCCAAGCAGCGCATGGCGGCTGGACGCAGCGATGCGTCTGATGCACGTAGGATATGGGCAGTGTAGTCAAGCAACAAGCGCTCGAGCAGAGGAAACCCCAAGCCAGATACTGAGGCGCTCTTGCCAGCATTTTCACCTCCCAGAGTCCTATCTGAGCGCACTTGTCCCTCCTGAAGCCATGAGCTGTTGTTACTCCGATCCAGGGCTGGGCCAACGAACAAACACCCGCGAGCGAAATCGTTTGCAGCATCCTCCTTCCCGAACAAGACAAGCTCTGTATGGGACCCCTGCCGCCAAGCCCCTGTGCGCACAGCCATAGGCCCAACATCGACCATCATACCGCATGGGCCCTGTTGTTGTGCACCGGTCACACCGCCGCCGACCACCCTGTCCGAAGGCAGCTGTCCGTCGGATTGCAAATCACAGCATGTATTCCCAGTTGGGCTATCATGCCACCGATTTGAATGTAGCTCATCCTCCACATCGCCTGCGACATCCCCGATATCACTCAGGAAAGAGAACAGACATCGGCCACGCTCCTGGTTGCCTGACTCCCTGATGCTATCCGATGCCTTGGTTACACCCAGGCATACATGCGTGGGCAGCACCTCCCAAACAGGTGCATAAGCGGCAGCTTGCTTGCTGCCGGAGCAAAGCTCATCAGCAGCGATCATCGCCAACCTGCGAATATCGGACCGCCTCCCCGCCAAGTTGACATTCAAACGCAGCTGCAGAAACTCCCGAAGAGCCCGGAGCGAAACAGCACCATAGACAATCAGCATCGACATAACCTCGAGGATGTGCTGCTTGAGCACATCGTCATGAATAACGTCCTCGTCGGTCTTGGCGAACTCCATTTCCCCAAGGGGCTATACTACGGAGTTCTGGGGGCATTCGCAATCCGCGCTATGCGGTGTTCGAGCCCCTAAAGTAGCATTGGTACTTGTTTGAAGGGCCCTATATTGTAGTACCCTTATAGATCCCTTATAGCAAGCCTTGTAGTCCCCTTTAAAGGAACCCCTAAACCCCCCTATATTAACCCGTATAGCCCCCTTTAAAGGAGGCTGTCAGGCTCCTCGGAGAGAGATTCGCTGGGACCTGGCAGCTCCTCAGCACCGAGTTGCAGCGACAGACTCAGACGCCAAAAGGACGTAAAGGGTTTAAGGTCTAGGGTTTGGGGTTTAGGATGTCTGAATAACAGAAGGGCGATGCAACTTTACACTTTCAGATGAGTGTAATGGAAGCGCGGGAGAGGAGTGCGGTGGACCAGGCTCTGCCACAGTGCTACAGGTCACCACACGAAGCTACACATGGCATTGGCCGAAGTCTAGGAGGACTCTGCAGCCGATGCTTCCCAGGCTAGGCCGCCGGCCCATTCGCCGCCAGTTCGACCGGTGGCGGCCTGCAAGGCAGGAAGCTTCGAGGATTTTTGGGACGGTAAGTACGGCACTTCAGGGCAATCGTCTTCTTGGGCGTCGGACTCGCCGAGCTGCCCCGAAGAGAGTGCCAGTGCGCGAGTCTGCCTCGCAGTCACTCTTTCGAGCGGCCTGCGCTTCCATTGCAAGGCCTTGGCACTCCCGGCCTCGCCAGCCACGGCACGGGGCCTGCAGAAGCAAGGACCCCAATAATAATAATAATAATAATAATAACAATAGTAATAACAATAATAACAATAACTATTATTATTATTATTACTATTATTATTATTACTATATTATTATGGCCATGTTTCAAGTCAACAGCGGACTATTGCGGACTCTGCTGGGAGCCCCCCACGCAGGCTCCACCCTCCAGCGGCTCAGTTCCCACGGAGCGATCTCCACGGGCAGGAGCCTGGGCTGCAGGGGGGGAGAGGAGTGCGATAAGGAGGACCCTCCCTGCCCGATATGCGAAGGATTATAATAATAATACTAATAATAATAATAATAATAGTAGTAATAATAATAATAGTAATAATAGTAATAATAGTAATAAGCCCTGGCTGTAGGGGCGCGGCCCAGAGCTCGATGCCATTTGGAAAATCAAGCAGGCGACTGCGACCTAGCAATTGCGCGCCGCAGTCGAACATCGCAGGGGCTGCACTTGCATCCGCATATGTCGGCTGTACATGTGCAAGGCAGCTGGCTCCAATGCAACTGGCCAGCTTTCCAAGCTCCACACCTGGCACTTCGCGCTCTAAGCAGACTCGAAGGGACGCTCGACCAGCGGCCAAGGCCCCCGCATCTCCGCCGATAGCGACCCAGCATCCCAAGTGTGCGCAGCACAGGATCTCGGTAGGCCTCGCCAAAGCGACAGCACAGCATAGGACAGGAACATCCCTGGATAGATCCAGAATGTGGAGCTGCAAAGCCTGTCCGCAGATTGGACACACCGGGGACTGATTTCGGCGGATCCATTCTGCCGCACATGCACCTCGCCGCTTCAGACTTCTGTGCCAACTGACGAACTGTGGCAGCCAACCGACCGCGGTGTCGCTTGCCGGGGTGCCGACGATGCACATACGCCATGCTGCCAGAACAACCTAAGTGAGCGTCCGCGTGGCTGTCGGACTCATCATCCTGACCTAGCTGAGGCCCGAAACCGCAGGGCTGCAGCAGCTCTCCATCCTTCAGTTTTTTGAGGGACAAGTAGGGAGTTTCCGAAAATAGGGGACCCCAATATAGTACCCTAAGTAGTAGGATCCTCATTAAAAGGACCCCCAATTTTCGGAAACTCCCAGTTCTGAAAAGCAGTTCCGGATCTTTCACTGTCTGGGTCCTCGCTCCCACCACCGCAGATGCGGCACTCTGGCTCCTCGGTCTCTTCCATGTCCGGCGCACGCTCGGCTGCCGCGACCCCGGATGCCTCCTTCTCGGGCTCCTCCGGCGTTTCCCCTCCTTCCGCTGCTTCCGCTCGGCCGCTGGAGGGACGACTCCGCAAGGCCCGGAGCCGTGAGGCCATGCTGGAATACTCGGCACGCACCGCCCGAGGCACTCCGGGCAACATGAAGCCATCGGGGGTCTTCGCGGCCAGCTCCCGGCATCGCTGCTCCGCCTTCGCGGCATCCTGCAGCAAGACTGCCAAAGCCACTTCCGCCAGCTCCCGAGGCATCGGAGGCAGCTTCTCCGCCTCTGCCTCCTCTTCCTCCGGCGCCTTCTGGGCGGCGACGCGATGGCTGCAGTGCTCCAGGAGGCCCAAGACGGCAACTCTCAAGGTCTCGTGTCTCAAGTAGGCGTTGTAGTCTTCGGGGTTGCTCATGATCATCACGCCGGGCTCGTTCAGAGCAGGCTGGTCGTTCATCAGGGCCTGGAGCTGAAGCAGAACCACCCTTAAAGTGAAGGATGGATTCCAGCCCGGACCAGGCCAGGTATGCAAAATGGACAGACAGACCTTCCCAGACGTATAAAACTGCGGGTTGAAGCGGACTGTCCCCTGGCCCGTGGTCATCAGCCGCGCCAAAGGCGGCTCATGCGGATAGTTGCCCTTCGCATAAAGCACGAAGTGGAAGAGTCCACCTTCGTAGGGCGTGCCATCGGGGCCCCGTACCAGAGCGTGAACCAAGGTCGCGTAATTCTCGTCCGGGCAGACATTCACGCCAGGTAGGGGATCCTCCTTAAAGCCTGCCATCTCCGATGCCAGTCGGCGCAGGCAGGCAGCAGAGGGCTTATGCAGGATCTGTCGCGCAGCAACGGTCACCGGGTCCCAGTCCATAGGCCCCGAAGAGGACCCCGCTGAGGCCGAGGAACCAGAGCCTCCGGAGCCATTAGTCGGCGCCTGCTCCATGGCTCCAAAAAACCCTTGCTTCTTTTTATATGAGCTCTTGTATGTTTGAGTAGAGAGGCTCCGCTTCTTGGGTCGCAAGAGGGTCAGCCCAACTGCAGCCCCGGAGGGCCAGGTTTTTTGCCCTAAACGCTCTGGCATTCAAGTCTCGCACAGCCGACTGTGTGACCAGACGCGACTTAAACTAGATGCTAGGAGTGCCGACATCTAGACGTGGAAGCCGTTGATTCTAAAGCCACCCATGCCCATGTTCGGCAGTTCTACCATGGCTACATGGCTGTATGTGAAGTGGATACGGCTTCACTAACGCTGAGCCGGAAGCAGGAAACGAAGGGAATACTGTGCTACAATGTTAGCATCACCACCGCCAAAGTCCTCTCGTAGCAGGAGACAACAGGGCACAGAGCTTCAGGGCAGCATCACGACGAAGGCAGTTCACCATCGCATCTTGTCAGGTTCCTCAGCTTACGTTGGCATGGAGGTGTCGTGCTGTACTCTTCCGTTTCTGTATCTGCTCCCGGTAGGAAATTCGGAACCCCACCCCCGTCCTGCGAGTGTGAGCAAGCCACACCACTAAAGACGCTCCACCCTGCCATGGGTTCTGCCCTGAGGCGGCAAGCTGTGTCTTTCGGCTGTTTGAAGTTGTGCTTCACCTAGGACCATCGGACGAGTGTGACAGGTGTTAGTCGGCGGCAGATCCACCCAAAGACCTGGCATCGTGGAGACAACCCGAGGTGATTCAGGTTAGCCTATAGGTGGTGGGTGCAAAGCTCTTTGCTTTACAGGCTTTACAGACTTCTGGGCAGCTGCGATGCAACTCTAAAGCAGCTGTAGGCGGGCTGCTCCCGGCCTCTTGAATGCCACAAGAGAGCGCTGTCTAGCCGTCTTGGCTTTTGCCATGACGGCCGCGGGCAGTGCCAAAATGCACTGCGCCGCGTCACGCACCTGGCTGCCTGCGAGCTGCCAAGCTGCAGGGCACAGAGAGCCGGAAAGGAGATGCGAGACTTCACAGCGACAGATGGTCTTGCAAAGACAAACAGAAGTAAACAGGCGCTGCCGCTCTGTGCGGTTCGCCTTCATGCCCCGCCATTCGGCTCTCCAAGCCTGAGTGGCAATTCAGAATTCAGAATGCCTGGTCTCCGACCTCTTTCTCGGACTTGATGGGAGCTGTCTCAGTAGGCTGCCCCTTGAGTACTGCCACTCGGACCCACTGCACGACCCTCATCGTCGGATCCAGACGCCGCTGGGGATGCTCCACCTTCTCTGCGAAGGCCAAAGGCGCGAGGAACATCACGACAATGCCCAGTAAAAGGCCCAACCAACCTGGAAACAGGAAGGAGGCCGGAAGGTATCCGATGAGAATTGCAACAACGGCAACGAACAGCGCGTAGGGAAGCTGTGTCACAACATGGTGGCGGAGGTCACACTTCGTAGCCATGGAAGAGAGGATCGTGGTGTCCGAGATGGCCGTTGCATGATCTCCGAAAACAGATCCTGCCAAAATGGCAGAGACCACCAGCACGAAGATGTCTTGGTCTCCGTTCGAGCTGATCCACGCCGCTGGCAAGACAAGCGGGAACATGATGGACATGGTTCCCCAAGAAGTGCCGGTGCAGAAGGACATCAGCGAGGAGATCAGGAACGTGAGTGTCGGCAAGGAGCGATAATCCAAGGAATCCGAAGAGAACACGCTGGCGAAGAAGAGGTCGCACGAGACATCCTTCACAGCAGCGCCAATTCCCCAGGCCATGAGCAACACCAAGACCGGAGCAGTGAGGCCCTTCACGCCTTCAATCCACACATCCAAGGATTCCTTGAAATTGAGAATTGGCCGGGGCGCCTCAGCTTCATCTCCATCGATCTGCATCCGGAAATCACACGCCAGCCAGTGCTTCCACTGATTGTAGATCTCACCCTTGTACTGATACTGCAAACGGATGAAGACCCAGGTGACAACGCTCCCGATGAATCCTCCCCAGAGAAGGGCAGAGTAGGAGTCGCCGTTGCCGAACAAGTTCTCTGCCGTCATCTCCTGGCCACCATCCACGGTGGTGTTGTAGCCCGTGACCAGCAGGGCAGCGAAGACAGCAATCAGAGTCGACAGAATCGGCACCACGCTATTCCACCACAACTTGGGCGTGCTCTCTGATGGCTCCATTGATGAGTCGAGAGTCACCTCACTCTCCTTGGCCGTGGGCGAAATGACCTGTTTGTTGTCAACGGCACGGCGCTCTGCCTGAAGCATTGGACCCGCATCGCGCTGGAAGATGATCAGGCTGAGCTGAAAGACGAGCATAAAGATGGGGTAGTACCTGCTTGCCAGAGAGGAAAGGAAGATGCCATAGCCGCTCGTGAGACCGGCTTCGGCCAGGGCATCTGTGTACCCTAGCCCCTTTAAGGTCTCCAGCTGATCGTTGATGAGGCCGACCTAACCAACGTTACCGTTAGCGGAAGGACACACTCCATCTCAAAACTCACAGAAAGCTTCATTCAGTCTCTTGTTAGCCCAGAGCCTCAAAGCCAATCCAGGAGGAGATTGGAGCCAAGGAAGCAATCGGCGCAGTGGTGGCATCGACGAGGAAGGCGAGCTTCTCTCGGCTGACGAAGAAAGCATCAGAGATGCCTGCAAAAGAGAGCATCACTCGCATGACCTGGTGGTTACACGGAAGCACACCGCACACCTCCCTGCCCTTCGGCCTCGCATGGTGTTGCCGAGAATCAGCGTGTTCGCATAGTCATCGAAGAAGATCACGAAACCCAGAAGGTAGACCGCTAGTTGGACACCACGTCGTGTCGAGATCCGCTTTAGCATGATGTTGGCGATGCCATGGCCACCTCCCGACTTCTGCACAACTGCCACGAGTCCAGCGAGGAACCAGGAGAAGAGAATGACGAAGGCATGACCTGAATCCGCGAGGGAGTTCACCAAGTATGTGTCCAGCGTCCTCAGGAATGCATCGAAGATGTTCCCCTGATGGACGATGGCCCCGGCCACAAACAAGCCGACCCACAGTGCCCACAACACTTCCTGAGTCAATCCAGCCACGAGAACCACGAACAGGGGTGGCAACAGGGATACGAAACCGGAGATCACCCACGCTTCGTATGTCCCTGAGGAAGCTCCAAGGAAGTCTGCGGAGTATGCAACATCCACTGTCAGCTCATGAGTGCCTACTTCGTTCAGCACCAGGTCACTAAGGGTCAGTGACGTCCTGAGCACGTCGCCGGAATAGAGGGGGTAGGTCTTCACGCCAGAGACAGACTGACTACCCTTCTGAACGCGCACATAGATGTTGCTCCCAGCGGCCAAATTGTCACCGGAAGGGTAGCTCAAGGCAAGGTCAAGCTGAAAACCGACCCCCTCAAGGATTGTGGGTCGACTTCCCTTGACGGTGAAGCTTGGGGCAGCCGAAGACAAGGCTGCGCAACCCAGAAGCAGCACAGGGTACCACGCCATGCTGATGGAAATGCTTCGCGTGGTCACTGCAACTTGAGGCTGCACAAGCACTCAAAGCACCAACTTCACAACAGCAGCTGTCTGCGAGAGGCTTTCCAAGTGGCCCTAGCATGCTAGCTACTGGCTGTCGTGCGGACTTTGGGTCCTGGCTTTGCGGTCTCACACTGCGAAGCCTCGAGGAGCAATGAATGCTCCCCGAAGGCGTTTGGCTTGGATGACTTTGATCATCGGCCCAGACACCGAGATCAATCTAGGAGCCTCAATAGCCGACAATATCACTACTTCATAATCCTGCTGCAAACATATACATGCAGTATGTATATACAATATGTGTACATTCATATACACTCTGTATATATATATATATGTGCGAAAAGGTGTGTGTGTGTGTGTGTATGTATATATATATATATATATGTGTATATATATATATATATATATATATATATATCTTGTATGCATATAAGTACATATACATACATACATACATACATACATACATATATATATATATATATATGGGTACTGTTTGATCCCCCCCTGGATTTCCGCGTTGTCCTGCAAAACCCCCCGCCCCTCAACCAGTTACCCCATTTCTCCGCAAATTGCCCCCATCACCAAATAGTTTTGGCCTTACATAAACCACTTCAACAATTAGTTTGACCCTATGTCTTAAAGCAATAAATCATTTCACCAATTCGTTTGGCAATGGCTAAACCAATTAACCAATTCACAGATTAGTGTAGCCCTAAACCATCTCTCCTTTTCACAACTGACCATATGGGGGAAATGAATGGTGAAATGGTGAAATGGTTCATGGTTAGGTCCAAACGAATTGGTGACATGGTGAAATGGTCATAGGGCAAAACTAATTGGTGAAATGGTGAGATGGCTTATGGGTTTAGACATATAGGGCCAAACTAGTTGGAGAAATGGTGAATTGGTGGAATGGTTTTGGGTGCTTAAGAATCTCATATGGTTAGTCCTCCCCACCCAATAAGACCAAGGTAATTGGTGAAAGGGTGCTTGGTTTGGGTACCAAGCCACTCAAAAGAATCAGACCGACTGGTGAAACGCTGAAAATTGTCAATTGGTTGAATGGTTCCGGGCCCTATTCGTCATGTTTGAAGGTTCGAAAAGCCTGAGTTCATAAACCAGTGTTGTGATTTATAAACTTGGGAAGGGTCCAGCTGCACAATAAACCATACGAAGAAAAATTATTTCATCAGTAGTTCATCAACACTTGCAAAAAAACTGAATCGGCAATGAAGCTAAGCATGAGCTAGCAGAGTAAATGGTCATAGGTATCGTCTGTTTTTTGAGCAATGATGCTGCAGTGTTTTCGTCAGAATTCGCATATTCACTGGATCATATGCATATTCCCGTACTGGAGTTTACAAGAGAGAAGAAAGTCTATGCACATATTTAGCGAACGGCGCGCTTACATGTCCCTCACCCAGGGAGCATAGTGCGGAACATGACGTCTATTGGTCTTACAACAGCTCAGTAGGTGTTAGCAACATTGGAACATCAAGCTACACAGAAAATTGAAACTCGACTGACAAGACCTCATTGTAAAAACAAAAACGATTTTTTTGGTTACAACCTGGTTAGGTTCATCACTTGGTAGATAGACGAATTGGTGTAGGTCCAAACATCATTCAAGGACTTATGTGCAAACAAGGTGCGAGCGCATGCAATGCCGGAAGTGGCGCGTTGTCTCGGCTCGAGGCACCGACCACCATGGGGGATACACGGTATGCCGCGTCAGAAGCTTGACGAGATGGCGTTTCGATGACAATGTCATCATCATCACTTGATTGAAGTTTGATTCCCTCACATGAAAGGTGCAAAAATTTTGCCTGGGTTTGTAAACTTTTGGTGGTTTTCAACACCAGCTGCTGGCTTTACAATAATACCGCATTCCAAAAGACAGAGGGGTGGATACTACGCAGCATATATATATATATACACGGACATAAACACTTTTTCGTTTCCACCCTCTGAATTAGTGCACGCCGAACACCGGTGCGTCCGAATGGACTCATTGCCTCGAAATGCGAAATGCGAAGTGTATTATATAATATCACATATATATATATACACATATACATGTGCTATGCTAACATCAATACAGCAAAATACAACATGCCTAAGACTCTGCTGACTAAACTTCGACATAGCCCACTTCTTTGTGGCCCCCAGATGGATCCTCTCCTGGATCCCGACGAATGCCTGTGTGCTGCTTCGCAGCACAAAGGCGCTCGCGGCCCACACGGTCGTTAACGGTTTAAACCCCAAATCCTGAACCCAAACTCCTGACCCGTAAAGCCCCTCACAGAAATGCTGCGTAGACCTTGTCGTCACGTCTCCGCCTGTCAGAGCTGGAGAACGTGTTTAGGGATGTTTAGGGATTTAGGGTCCTTTACGGGTACTATGCAGGTACTACAAGGGTACCAGAGGGGCGCAGGGTTTAGGGTGCTCAGGATTTAGGAGCTTGTGAGATTAGGGGTTGAAGGGTTCGGGGTTTCATCAAGCTTCAGATTTGGACGGGGCTTTTTGCACACCCTGAAAAGGCTCCTCATGCTCAGTTTCTTGGTTGGGGTCTTTTTTCCGGCCTGTTCAGACCTCAGGGTTTGGGGTCTAGTGCAGAAAGAAGAAAAGAAATCAAGGAGACAAAAAACAATTTGACCGGCCATACAGGGTGTTTTTCACGCCCTGGGTTTGGGGGTTTCAGGCCGAAGGAACAAAAGAATCTTTAAGGAGGCAAGTAACAACCCAATCGGCCGTAAATCGCGCCCTGGGTTTGGGGCTCTAAACCCGAAGGCACAAAAGAAAAAGAGACATAAAACAAAGAGACTGAGAGACGGAGAGGCAGAAAGACGGAGAAACAGAAGTCACTGGAAAGAATAAAAGGGTGACAGCGGGAATGACAGAGAGAGAGAGAGACAGAGAGGGAAAGAGACAAAACGAGAGATAGAAGGAAACCAAGCGGGATGCGGGAAAGCAAAGGTGGGAGCAAGAGGAGAAAGAGAAACAGAGAAATAGAGCGACAGACAGACAGAGTGACAGCGAGACAGAGAGACAGAGAGACAAAGAGACAGACAGACAGAAGAGGGACAGAGAGACAGAGAGACAGGGAGAGAGGCAGGTACAGGAAGCGAGAAACAGGAACGAAAGGCAGCGGAAAGGACCGGAGGGCCAAGGAAGGGAAGGCAGGGGAGGGGAGGTCCGAAAGGGCAGAAGGCCCGCGAGAAGAGCCTTCCATATCACAATGGCACGGCCCAGCAGAGAACAAGGAACAAACCGCTCAAAAAGACTAGAGAAAGACTTTGAGAACAAGGAGCCGCTCGAAAGAAACTAGAGATTTTCAGACCAGGGAGAACACAGCTCTCAAAAGAGACTAGAAAATTTTAGAGCACGGGATCAAGCGGCTCGAAAGAGACTAGAGACTTTGTGAACAAGGGGCAGACCGCTCCAAAGAGACTAGAGACTTTGAGAGCAAGGAGCAAACCACTCGAAAGAGACTTGAGCATTTGACAACAAAGAGCAAAGTGCTCGAAAAAGACTAGAGAGCTTCAAGAACAAGGATCAAACCGCTCGAAAGAAATAGGGCAATTGAAACCAAGGAGCGAACGGATCGAAGAGACTAGAGACTTCCGCTCGCAAGAGACTAAAGACTGAGAACATGGAGCAAATCGCTGGGAAGAGACTAGAGCGGTGTTGAGAACAAGGAGCAAACCGCTCGAAAGAGACTAGAGAGCTCGACAAAAGGAGCAACCCGGTCAAAAGAAAGCAGACAGCCTGAGAATGAGGAGCAGATCGTTCGAAAAAGCTCGCCACGTTTGAAAACACTGAGCAAACCGCTGACTTCGAGAACAAGGAGCAGACCGCTCGAGAGAACTTGGAAAAAGGAGAGAACCACTTGAAGATGGCCAGAGAGTTTGAGAACAAGGAGCAAACCGATCGAAAAAGCTTACAAAGCCTGAAAGCAGGAGCGAACCGCACGAAAGAGACTGGGGGATTTTCAATGATTTTGAAACCATGGAGAATTTGATTGAAAGAGCCTAGAGAATTCAAGGACAAGGAGCAAAACCGCTCCAACGGAACAGAAAAAGGAGCAAACAGTTCGAAAAGGACAAGGAGATTTGTGAACAAGGAGCAAACGGCTCGAAAACGACCAGAGAATCTCAGAATGGAGCATACCGATTGAACAGGACTGGCGAGTTTGAGCACAAAGAACCAACCGCTCGAAAGAGACAATAGAAATTGAGAACACGAAGCAAACCGCTCGAAAGAGACTAGAGAAATTGACAACAAGGCACAAACCACTCGAAAGAGACCTGGAAATTTCAGAACACCGGAGAAAAGCGTTCGAAAGTGACTACAAAATTCAAGAAACAAACCGCTCGAAAAAGACCAGAAAACTTGAGATGTGGCAAACCGCTCAAAAACGATTAAAGAACTCGAGAAAACGAGAAAACGAGCAAGCCGCTCGAAACAGACTAGAGAGTTTCAGAAGGATGAGCAAAACAGAGGAAATTTAAAAAACACTCGAAAGGTACAAGAAAAATTGTGAACATTAGGAGCAAACCGCTCGCTCGACTAGAGAATTTGAGAGAAAAGTGTACACCGCTCGAAAAAAAGAATTTTAGAAGAAGGAGCAAACCACTCGAAAGGACCAGGGACGTCGAGAACACACAGCAAACCACTCGAAACAGACTGAACAATTAATCGCTCGAAAGGGGCTAGGCAAGTTAAGAACTAGGAGCAAGCCGCTCGAAAGTGACGAGAGACTTTAAGAACAAAGAGCAAATTGCTCGAAAGGGACTAGAAGATTTGAGCCCAACGAGCAAGCCGCTTGAAACAGACTAGAGAATGTGAACACAGCGAGCAAACCACTCTAAAAACTAGAAAAAATGACCGCACAAAAGAGACTAGAGACTGAGAACAACGCGCAAAACGCTCGAAAGGGACTGGGAACCCTCGAACGAAACTAGACAAATTTGAGAAAAGGTAGCAAACCGTAAAAAAAAAAAAAAAAAGTTTAGAAATTTGCCACCAACAAACAAACCGCTCGAAAGAGACTGGAAAATTAGAGAACAAGGAGCAACCGAGTTTGATTTTAGAACAAGGCGCAAACTGCTCAAAAGGGACAAGGAGCAAACCGATCGAAAAGGACCAGGGGCTTTGGGAACAAAGATCAAACCGCCCCAAAGGATCAGAAAAACAAACAGACCGTTCGAAAGAGAAGAGATTGAACACAAGGAGCAAGCCGATCGAAAGAGACTTGAGATTTTGAGACAAAGAAGCAAGCCGCTCGAAAGAGACAGAAAACGGAGCAAACCGAAAGAGACTCGAGAAGAGAATTCGGGAACTAGGGGCCGCCTGAAAACTAATGACTAATGACAAGGAGCAAACCGCTCGCAAGGGACTAGAGAATTTCAGAACAAGGTGGAAGTTTTATCTCAACATCTCGGGCCCGAGGAATTTCGAACGGGCTGCCGAGGGGCCACTGAAAGCCCTGTCGGCTGAGGGCTTTTTTCGGTCATGGATACGTGGCGAGGTAGACGAAAAACCCGTACGCGAGAGAGAAGCCTTTGCTAGACCCTGTCCATGGGCGGAGGGCTTGCTTCGGATTCTGCCCATGCATGCTCGAGAAGCTGTTGAGCGCCGGGCCTACACAGGGTAGGGAAAAAGACTTTCCGACAGATTTTACTGGCTGTTGAAAATCGGGATTTTGGAGTTTCTGGTTGAGCTTATGGTGTGGGGGGTTGGGTTGAGGCATCCTCGCAAGCAGACTCCGCGCCTCCACAACCTTCTCTGCAATTTCGACCGCGCCCACTGAACACCACCAGCAGCCTCTACATGACAAGCATGTGACATTGCTTTCTTGGAAGATGCTCAGTCCTAAACCCCTAAACCCCTGAACCACAAAGACCAAACCGTTCTCCCCGTGCCTAGGCGGTTGAGCATGCTGTCGAGCATGCCGCGCCCGAGGAACGTGGCACTGCGCTCCACGGCTGCCTGAGCTCACATTCGGACCGGCCCATTTCCGGAAATCCCGAGCGTTGTTAACAATCTGTAGGGTGTCTTGTGGTGGCTTTAAACAAGTAGACATAAGTAGACTAAGGCTTCCGGTATTATGATCATAACTCTGACTAACTGTGTATAATACCGCCGGCAAACAAATGCATCGACAAATCGTCAGAGGAATGGACAGATGGATAGGAATGAAAGACCACCCGACCCCCCTAAATCCCTGCAACCCTACGGCTTCAGTCAGCAGGCACGAACAGAAAGAGCATCAAACTACATGAAACCAAAACAACAAAAAATTGCAACAAACCTGCAGAAACGGCAAGAGAAAGATGAAACAAAACTTAAACACTGTAGCTACCAAGCATGGAAGCACACTGTAATCACCAATACTATTTTGGGGGTCCCTGTTCCACTTATAGTATCATATACCCCGAAACCCTGTTCTAACTGTTAGAAGCAAAAACATACAGTACGGGAGTCAGGATTCGGGGAATACACCCGAAACCCCGTTCTAGTCGCCAGAAGCACCAAAAACAAAACCCTAAACCCTAAACCCTAAACCGGAGCGGGAGCTCGGCTCGGGCCTCGGTCAGCCCAAGCTTCAGCTTGCTCCAGACGCGGAGCGCCTCACAAGGCGTTCCCAGGGCTTTTGGGGCTTTTGGGGTTTAGGGTTCAGGGTTTATGGTTTAGGGCGTAGTGTATGGGGTTTAGGGTTTAGGGTTGTTGTTTGGAGGGTAGGCTGAGACTTCAAGCCTGAGGGCTTAGAGGCTTTAGGTTTCAGGGCATAGTCATGGTTTAAGGCGTGTCCGGGGTTTGGGATGGGCAGAAGTCTTCAGGGCTTCGGAGCACCTTTTTCGGAGGCTTCGGGGTGTAGGGTCCGTCGCCAAACGAAAGTAACACAAGTCAGTCAGCATGGTGATGCAAGGAAACAGCGTGCCTGCACTTTGGCGTTCTCGGAGGTCTCTGGGAGGAGCAGCAGCCTAATTCAGTGGGCAGGAAACCCTAAACCACACCCCCCCGAATCTCAACCCCAGCGGCCCATATCCGAAACTCTAAACCCTCAGCGCTTCAGCAGTTGGGGGGCTTTTGGCTCGATTACGAATTGAAGCCGGGCAGCCACCGACCTCCTGATGGCTCCTCCAGAACTTCGCGATACTCCTGGAGCAGAGGCTGTTAAGCTTCGGGTTTAGGGCTCAAGGCTTTTGGGGTGTTTCGAGTTCGGGAGGCGCTTTTTGGTTTGGATTTTAGCTGTACGGCTTAGGGACATGACGGACTTATAAAACGGAGCAGACTTGCGAAGCGCTCAGAATCGCCTCAGAACTCGGACAATACTGTAACCTGGGTGGCTTCGGAAGCGGATACCCAAAATAAGAAATCGTCGTAATAGGTTTTTCCCGAAGCTGAAGACGCAGGCCTCTCAACCCTAAACTCTGAATCTCAAACCCTAAACCTCTAGACTCTACACCCCAGCACTACCAGCCCGGCAGAACATCACAGCACAGCACAGAACTGAGCTCTCGCGGACGGTACGGGTCTCACACGGCAAGGGGGCCTCGTAAGTTGCCCAGACAAAGCCGCCTGCAGCTGCTCCCAACCTTGGACGTAGTCTAGTATACTATGATATGGTGCAATAGTTCTTGGCCCAATTCGACATGGTAACGTGTAGAAACGTAGTGTAGTATAGTACGGTATAGCATAGTATAGTTTAGTATCGTATCGTAAACATACAGTAGAATTAGTACAACAAAACGCAGTATCTTTGGGGTTTGGGATTCTGCCTATTAATGTTGGCGCCCCCGCACTAGCTTCGAATGCTCTTTCTGCAAGTTGCAGCAACTCAACGCTAAATCCCGAGATCCTTTAAACCAATCTTCAGACCACAGGGACGCAGGACCGGAGGACGGGCAGACGGGGATGCAGCCATGTTCCTTCAGTTTCGTGGTGATAGAAGGCTTTGATGGTTTTTTGGATGCGAAGGGGCTGCATGTCACCCTTACGGGCTGGGTCTATAGGAATGACACTGCTGCAGCAAGGTCGCACTATGCCGCCAGTCTTGGTGATGAAGGCCAAACCTCCAGGCGAGGAGAGCATGCTCAAAAGACTCTCGCTGCTTACAACTTGTCGTGAAAGTGGATGCCGACCCACAGCCTGTGATGCTACAAGTCGTACCATGCTACGGTCAAGTCAAAAGAGATTAGCCTCTAACTATAAGAGACAATGGTCACAGCATAGCATATCATCGTACGGCTCGGTATTGTGTAATGTAGTAGCACACTACAGTACAGTGTCGTAAACGAAATTATACACGGTGGTCTGGCGTCGTAGAGCATAGCATGGTAAATAATCGAGTGAAGCGCTTTATCAGAGTGCATCATGTCACAATGCAGCAAAATCCTATGTCATACTGTGGTTTCAGATTCTACTGCACTAACATGTATGAATGAATACTCATTACACTGACTGTTAGTCGTTATATCATGCTCCATCACTATGTGAGCAGATAGAACGTAACGTAATGTACCTTGCTAGGCCATGCAATGGCATGCAACGTAACGTAGCTTAGCGTACTCAGATGTGATTAAGTTAACTTGACATCAGACACGAAAACCATGCAATACAATATAACATAACAGGACATGGCATGATACCATATGACGTGGTATCGTATGGTACAGTATGGTACGGTATCGTGTGGTGTGCATGGTAGGATAGGGTATGGTATGGTATGACCTCTATGTAGATTGATATACATATGCATGCACAGCAGTTTTGGCAAGAAAGCTGGGATGGATCATGGGGGAGTGTGACCATATGTATATATATATATATATACATATTATATACATGTATATGTATACGTGTATGCATATGTATGTGTATGTAAGTATATGCACATACACAAACACGCAGTTGCCTGCCTGGTGGGAGCTGCCAAAGAAGACCTGCTGAAGCACCCAGAAGCATGGCCTCGGGCACTTCTCTTCGACTCCACGTCCAGGCTCCGTGATATCATACATGTAACCGAGTACCAACCTAAGATGATGCACTGAAGAAAGCGTGATGGCATAGAAATTTTATCTATAACTGTATAACATAATACATTCAATGCACACAATGGTAATGCAATAGTATAATAGAATGTCGAGAAACTTATTGCACCACAATACAATACTATACAAGTAATATACGTTATACGATACAAGGTCAAAGTGAATAGCGTGTCTTCGGTAAAGGGGCAGCGAGCAACGGCCCAAGAGAGCCCAGTTTGCCTGCATTCTCGGGATCTACCCGTGATCATAGTCAGGATCGCTCTATGACGGAAGCGGGTTTAGGGTTTAGTATGGTAGGTTGTAGGTGGGCCCAGATCCACTTTCTGAGTTTAAGATCTTGGAGAGAACATGTTTCTGCCTCTTCTCCGGTAAGTTCTGAGCTCCAAGTAGCCTCAGCCCATTGATCGTCCAGCTCAGGGTAAGGCCCTGTGTTGTTTCTTCCGTTCTCGCTGGACCGCTCAACTAGACAAAGATGCTGCGGTTCAGTCTCTGAATCCGAACCCTGCGGTTATCACTGGAAGCACTTAAGTCACTAACCCCTCACCTGAGCCTACCATCGCACATCCAGGCTCCGGGCACAAGCTCCGCTTTCTCGGCGGAGTGCGAGACAGACTGCCGTCAGCCGCGGCCTTAGGTGAGGGTTCGGAGGAAAGCTGTTCCAGAATTGCTGTCACAGCGATTTCAGGTGCCGCTGCTGCCAGAGCCAATCACAAGAAGGACCTCCGAGAGCCAGCGGGCAAGGGGCGGAGGAGCCAGGCCGTCCACAAAGCGCAGGAACTCGCTCCCTGTGGGCAATTGTTGCACTAAAAGCGACAGCGGCTGCTCTGTGTGCATGGTGAGCAAGTGTATGTTATCCTGTCTGTCTTCTATGATGTACCATAATATGCCATGATATACTACCGCATACTTTGGGTCCCGCCCCGGCCCAATAACAGTGACCACAAACAGACCCACAACAAAACGCACCAGCAAAATCAACCCATGCCTCCTTTGAACCTCTCTCCTCTTCGGACATACCTGGAGGCTCCTTTTCGGCCAAATACCACCCACACTTTCCATCCAGTCCAACCAAGCATCATACCCCCAGCAGCAACCTTTGCAGCCCAACCAACACCCAACCAATCTCCAGCCTAAGCCCGCTTACCCACCCATCCACCAGCACACAAACTCTAGTTTTGAACTGTGACCGCGCCGGGGCAGAACCCAAAATATACTGCTATATATCTATATATTATTATGTTTTAGCAAAGGGAGCACAGACGTATCCCTGACACTTTCCGGGGGGCGGACGCGAGACCAGGAAGCCCACTGACGCGGTGATGCCAGCGAGGAAGAGCGTAACGCAAAGGCCTCGGCTTTGGGGTTTAGGGTTAAAGTTTAGGGCAGGTCCTGATACGAGGATCCTGATTATGATCCCCTCATATCAGGGCTCAGGACGGCTGATCAGCCCCGTAAAACCACTGTACACCCTACCCTACACTATTTTCAGGGCTTCAGCGTTTGCAGCTTTGGACCTGGGGTTCAGGGTCGAAGTTAGGGTTCAGGGTGCAGGGTTTAGGTAGGGGGTCGAGGGCTCGGATGGCATCCAAACCCGCAACCCAAAACCCCAAACCGACGACTTGGGAAGCGGCTCATCATCCGAGTGGCTCCCAGCAATCTGAGCAGAACCTCGGGCAGCGACACGCGCCGGGCGCAAACCCTAAACCCCTAAAAAGCCCAAAGCCCTACCCTCAACCCGAAAAGCCCAAAAACTAGAACAGTAAACTTAAGCCCTAAAACACAAACCCTGGATTTCCTCCCGCATTCCGGTGCTCTCAACCCGGGAGGCTTGCTGAGGGCCCGGGCTTGGCGGTTTCTGAGGAGCGTGGACAGGTAGAGCTGACACTCCAGCGCCTGCAAGCTAAGGTTTATGGTTTTAGGTCAAAACTGACCCGATTGAAGTAACTCTTCCCATGCCCTGACCACTGAAACCCTCGTCCCTTAATCCTAGACTGAGCCCCCCAACCCTAAAGCCTCAACATGAAGCCTTAAACTCTAAAGCCTCCACCCTAAACCCTGCAATCCAATGCCCACCTGTGCTTGCAGCAAGCCGAGCAGCCAGTGCCGGGAACCTGAGAGAAAACTGCAGGTGGGTGAAGCGTTTGGTTTTAAGGCTTCATGGCTTTAGGGCTTAGGTTCCGTATTTTGCGTCTTAGGACGTATCGCGTTTTTTACGGTGGAGCGTGTCAGCATGCTTCTATCACGGTCTTTCCAGGGTCTTCAGAGGTTTAGTGGGGCACTGTCGGGTGGGGCTTTACACATGTGGCAAGTTTTGGGGACTCTAGTATTTCCTGATTCAGCCAATTTCAGAAGGAAGATGAAGGAAGCATCATCGAGAGCCTACATCAACGGCCCCGAGCCAGGCTTTTAGCTTTACGAGCTCCTGAACCCTAAATAAACCCATCCCCTAGACTCTCTAGACCCAAAACCCCAGACTCGAAGTGCTTGTAACCCTTACAACCCCCCCTTTTGGGACCAAAACTCTGAGCCGCAAGCCCGCCCGAAACCCCCCCCAAAAATCGTCGCTCGGGCCCCGACGGAGCGCTCCGAAGGAGGGGAGGCCATGCAGGGCCCAGCCTTCCAGGCCCAAGAAGTCGGTGGCACCTCCCGCGGAAGATCGCACATTCCTTTGTCCTACAGCTATCCGTACTGAACGGAAGGCTACCCTTTGGGATTGTGTGCAGATTACACTACCCGAAAACGTTGGCGGTTACGAATCTGAGAGAAGTGCCGGAACTTGCGTCTTCTTGTGGTAGGAGAGTTCAGGGTCAACAACTGTGGCCGGGGAGTTTCGGGCTTCGTGGTCGTGACCCTATCCTGTGTGGAACGCTCAGCAACGGGCCTAGTGCCAGGACCACCACGAGCACTGCCCGCTGTTCCAGAGTTGCCTGGCGCTGTGCCAGCCCGCAACTCGCCAAATGTTCAGATGTTCGGGAGCCCGAAAGATCGCCTGCCCGCGCGCGGTTTCCGAGCCTTCGGGCGCCTTGCAACAAGCACACTATCGAACCTAACGGACTGGAAGGATCGATCACCGTCGGGCAGGTGCCTGCATGCGCTGCCAGAGTCTCAAGCAAGCCCATCCTTAGAACTGTCTGCGGGACCTGTTTACATACTCCACAAGACATCCGAGAACAGTCTGAGCACCGGGCCTCCGAGCAGCAAAAACAAGATCCCACCCCCCTCCTCCGTGCCAGAGCCGGCCATGGGCTTCCTGAAAAGCGAGTCCAAATCCTAGCCTCCGGGAGCCCTAAACTCTAAAAACCCTAAATCCCTAAACGCCTTCAAACCCTCAAGAAAAACCCGAAACCCTAAACTCTGAAACCCTAAGTCCCTAAACGCCCCCGCAAGAAAAGCCCCTCATGAGATCTCTGAGGGGGCCTGAGAAGCCCCTCCACCAGCAGGCGCGTGGCGGCAAAGGCGGAAAAGAGCCTTGGGGGGGCCGAATCACTCAAAGCCCAAGGCTCGCGTCTTCCCAGAGAGCTCACCTTGCCCCTTCAACTAAATTAAAGAAATACACCTTGACTTACAGAAGGACCCATGAGAATAAGGCGACTTCGGGCACAACTACAAAAAAGGATCCCGATACCTCATGACTTAAAGCACATTCCGTAAAATCAGGGGTCACTTGGGCTCTCTCGGATCGGTATCCGGTCTGAGAAGCCGACGGCAGCAAGGCCTGTACCAGAAACACCGAAGAAGTCACCAGCTCGGGCTGCTCGGAGAAGGCGTCTAAGAGCTGCCAACGCCTCGGGAAACGATCCCACCACAAGAACTCCGGAGACTTATTGGTAATAGGTATAGTAGGACTGATACCTCTGATAATGTTACAATGGCAATTAACAAGAGGTCTCTTCTGAAGTTTTAGCGGGGGTTGAGGGTGGAGGCTTTTGGGTTGAGGGAGTTTTCGTCTGCCGCGAGAATCGGCAAGACGGGATTGCGGGGAGGACGACCTAAGCTGGGCGGAGGGTTGAGGGCAGAAGGCTTATGCTGCCTGCAGCCCAGTGTCAGCACCACGACCACAGCCACCAGGATCGCCAGGACTGCCTTAAGGTGTCGGAGATTTTCAGGGAGCCAACCCTAAAGCATCACCCTCCTCACCCCTCCTAACACCCATAAACCCTCAACCCTGCACCCTGACCCCTAAATGCTCCAAACCCTAAATGCCCAGACCACCCACCCAAACACCCACCCCGCAGTCTTGTTTGCGGCCAGTGTTACGAGGAGCAGTGGAACCGCAAGGCCGCCCAGCAGCGGCGAGGAAAGCTGCAAAAGTTGAAAGGCCTCGTCCCACAGGAGGCTTCAGACTTCGAAAGAGACGTTCTCTTTCTCTTTCCCCGCGATAGAAGGAAAGCAGGTGCCGCGCAGGATCCGGGTCCCGTGCCACGGCCAGCAGCGTTGGAGCCGCAGCCCCCAGGCCCAGCAATCCCAGCAGTGCCTCGTCAGACAGTGCGAATTAAGGCCCTATTGCAATAATAGAAGCCGTCAAAAGTGAAAACAAGTATAGACCAGAGCCCAGCCTATAAGCCTCATCAGTAGCCCCACTATGAAACCGCACCCCCCTTTTCATTCTAACCCCCAACATACATCGTCATAAACCCCATTCATATCAACCTAATGTGTCAGCTACCCCAAGATATTACCCTCATGAACCCCCGCCCCAGTATAAGACACAATGTAAACCAATATCACACCTAATACAAACCTCAAGTAAACCTGAATAGAAGACCTAATACAAACCCTAACAAAACCAATTAATGTAGAACCTATGTAACATGAATCCAAGTATGAGGCCCAATATGGGAGTTTCCGATAATTAGGGGCTGCCTTATTTTGGTGTCCTTATAATAAGGATCCTACTATTCAGGGTACTTTTGTTAGGGTCCCCTATTTTCGCAAACTCCCATATTATTACAGTGTACCCTAAACTCTAAACCCTAAACATTTTCGGAAACTCCCATATAATTACAGTATACCCTAAACTCTAAACCCTAAACATTTTCGGAAACTCCCATATTACTACAGTATACCCTAAACCCTAAACCCTAAACATTTTCGGAAACTCCCATATTATTACAGTATACCCTAAACCCTAAACCCTAAACATTTTCGGAAACTCCCATATTATTACAGTATACCCTAAACCCTAAACCCTAAACATTTTCGGAAACTCCCATTAAAAAAAATCTACTTCAGCTGAACTCCGAGCCGCCGGATGTCCAGACTCCGAGGCTCGGCAGGGCTCAAAGAGCAGGGCCGCCCTGAGAAGAGGCGCTTTGGGGAGTGGGGGCTTTTGGGGCTTTAGGGGTTTAGGGCTTTAAGGGTTAGGGGTTTAGGGGTTTAGGGTTTTTTGGGCTTTCAGGGCTTATAGGGTTCAGGGCTTGAGGGGTTTGGGGTGTGGTGCTTTAGGGGTTTAGGGTTTAGGATTTGGGGGTTTAGGGGCTGAGGGGTTAGGATTCCTGTTTAAGGTGTCCGGGATTTCATAGGATCAGAAGTAGGGATTTTATGGCCTTGTTACAGGGCCTTATAAGGTCTTGTTGGGCTTTATCGGGTTCCAGCAAGCTTTGTAGGGTTCTATGGAGAGTTTCAATGGTCAATGATGGGCTTGCGGTTTGGGCTTTCGGGCTTCAGAATGCACGCCAAATCCCTACGGATCAAGGGCCGTGAAGGATCCCTGGCCAACGGACCCTTCACATCTCCCCCTTCAGAAGGATTACACAAGGGATCTTCAGGTTGCGGCCCCTACAAACAAGGACGGATCAATGATCGGTGGTCGCCTACTGATACAATTTTCTCAAGGCTCCAGAAGGTACGCTGGACTGTCGAAGAAACCGAACTCCAAGCCATAGCCAGCCTGCGGACTGTTGCCACCAGAGGTCCTTCTGCATCCTGTCACCGAGATTTGAGGGTTTAGGTCCAACTTTGGAAACCCTAGAGATGGAGGTCAGATCCGAACCGTCCCTCCTCACCGTCAGTTGCTGTGCGCTCAGAACAGATCGCGGCCGCCAGATCGTAGAGATCCTCAGCGTCTGCGCATCAATCAACAGTCCCACACCCTCCCTCTCCAAAAAAATAACAATGATAACAATGCTAATAAGAATTATTGTTAATACAATAACAATAGACGAATCGTAACTCTGACGGAAACCCCTATGGCCCTATGGAAGCCCTTATCACAACTTCATTATGATACTGTCACGGGCTGTCGCGACGTTTCCGGGGACTGGACTGCGAAACCCTGAGCCCGACACGGCAGCGCTGCGCCAACCGGTAGATCGCTGCACCACCTCCGGACGAACGAGGCGGACAGTTTGCGCAAGGTCACAAAAGTAGGCGTTTGAGAGAAATGAGGCAAGACCCTGACCCTGAAATATGAGATCCAGGTTCTAGGGATCTGAGCTAACACTAAGGTACCCCTTGATACGATCCTGAACCCTAAACTAAGGTACCCCTGATCCGATCACTGAATTAACGCACCCCTGATACTAGGAAATCCCAAGACTGCCCGAACCAACCCCCACCCCCGCAAAGCACCTGCCGTGCCAGGCCATGACCGAGACCCTTGGCCGCTCGCACGGCGGTGCTCGGCGTTTTGCCGGCCACGGAGGCACCGGCGGCGGGGCCAGCAAAAGCATCGTCCGCGCTGTCCGGAGTGCCTTCGGTTGGGTTTAGGAGTTAGGATTTGCAAGGAGTCTAGCAGTCACTGGCTAATAATGCCTACACTGTTTTCGAAATTCAGGGTGGCTGCAAGCTTGTGGTCTAGATCTGTCGAAAGGCCTACAGCCCACCTGGATCGCTGACGCTTGGAGCCTCCTCGGGCTCATTTCCGCCCGGCAGCACGCAAAAGAAGAGAAGGCCCTGCATGCGCTGCATGGGCTTTCGGGCAGTTTAGGGTTTCGGGTTTCGGGCGTACGCATCCCGTGCCTGAACATCGGGATCCTCTGCGTCGTGGCCTGGTCATGCAGGGTAGATACTGTAGTCCCGTGGCTCCGGGAAGTCAGCTGAGGCAGCCGCCAAACATCTCCGCAACCAAAGCAGCCAGCCGAAGGCGAACATAGATGGTGTAGCCTGGTGTGACAAGATACCAGGCAGCACGTCCTCAACCAAAAATCAGTGTGGCTCTGCTTCTTCCTGAGCCCTTAAGCTTACAAACATGAACTCTAACTAACGCCAACAAAATTCCTTAACCCTGATTCTGAAGTCGTAGTCCTTGTGTCCAAGGGGCTCAGGAAAGCCCCTGCGCCCACCACCGGCAAGAACCGCATCACCAGCAACTCCGAAACCTCTGACAGAGCGGAAGCAAGAAGATTCGGTGTGTAGAGTTCGGGTTCAGGATCTAGAGTTTAGGGTATAATAGCAGCAAAAATTAGAGACAGGAGATGATGGAGACTCGCAATAACACTAGTAGTGATAGAAACTTACCATTGTATACTGCTAGTGTTACGCACCAGGTGCCTGGCCTTGCGAAGAACACGCTGGGACATTCCGCACTCCCCATCATCTTTCTCTGCCTCCCAGCCACAGGCGGTAAGGCTAACGGTATGAGGCGCTTGCGCTCAGCTTGAGAGTCTATGGCAAATCAAAACCCACCCAAACCCCTAGTGAAACCAATACCGAATCGGCTTTGAAAACAGCTAGGATTTAAAACCGAAACGCCTGTGCTTTCCGACCTCAAACTGTATACTATCTCGCGAAATGGGTCTATGCCCCTGTATCCATTCTTCTTCTTCTTCTTCTTCTTCTTCTTCTTCTTCTTCTTCTTCTTCTTCTTCTTCTTCTTCTTCTTCTTCTTCTTTTTCTTCTTCTTCTTCTTGTTATTCGTTTGCCGAACTTGCCCGAAGAAAAGGTCTACTTTTCTCTTCGATTCTCGTCCTACCATGCATGCCGTAAAGGTTGAGTCCGAATTCACCCAGTTTTACTCTGCAAGAATCCAGGAGGAAGAGCGGCACGTGGGGTTCGAGCGGTTTTAGTGCCAGAGAGAGAGAGTGTAGAAGGGTTCCTTTAAGGGCTCTACAGGCTCCTATCCGCGTTCTGTCGCGTTCTATCGGATTTGGGGTACGATTTCTCTGCGAACCGTTTAGGCCATCCTGAAACACTCTGCGGCCTGCCTTTGCGAGCAATGCTGCCACGGCTGCGGCGGCCGTGCCGTGCTCTCCGACCTCGGACCAGACAAGGCTTTCGTGTAGGACACAAAGTTCAGGATTCAGGACTTTTATCTTATCTTGTATCATACTATACTTTTCTTTTCTCTATTCTGACTATACTATTCTATGTTCTCGTAGATTAGGGTATGCTATTCGGGATCCAGGGTTCAGGGTTTTAGGTTCAGGGCCCACCTGTCATCCCTAGATTCCCTAGATGCCAAGGACTCCGGCAGCCGGGACCCAGGCTGCACGACGCGCTTCCACACGGGCCGAAGGAACGCCGAGTGAGGGCAAACCTGCAGCCATATGTCGAATTGCAGATCATATCGTATCTTATATTATCTCATATTATAGTGCCTTACACCATATGATCGTGTAGTATATTAAAGCCTTCTAAGACTCTCTGTCTTTGGGTTGTTTTAGAACAAGGCCTTGCTAGAGTCTGGGCCACCCCACCCTTCAGCACCGGCTCGAGCACGAGCAAGACGACAGCCTCCACCGTCGTCTCGATCCTGCAGTAGACCTCCGAACTCTGTTGTTCAAGGTTTGGGAAAGTAGGGGATTAGGGTTTAGGGTTTAGGTTTTGTTTTGAACGCCCTTTTCCGCCTGGCAGTGAAGGCTGGCGAAACCGAAAGCTGTGGGAGGCTGGAACCTGAACCCTTTGCCCTCTTCGAACTGGATGACCCCACTCTCAGTAGCTCTTGTGCTTGCCGTCGGTGCCCATAGGGTGGAGGGGTTTAGGGTTTAGGGTTTAGGCTTAGGGTTACTCCACCCTTGATCGGACACTTGTGTCTGCGACTCTGCCCTGTGGCAGCTGCGTCAAAGATGTGAAAAAGCAACCTGCTCTCTTTGGCACATACGCAACTGAAAACTTCCACCGCTTCTGCTAGCGCCAACCGGGCTTACTCGAGTCTTCGGATTTTGGTCAACAGGAGTGCAAGAGTCGCTTGCGTCGTCTTTCACCGAGCATCGACGACGGGAAGCCAAAGACACTCCGAGATGAGAGGCAACACCTGAGCAAGATGCCTGCAACGGGTCGAGCTCTGGCGTCAGGGCCGCACCTGTCCGACGGAGTGGAGTGGGAGGCAGGGGCGCAGCCGCATTCAGTCTTAGGGTGCCTGAGGTTTAGGGCCTTGCCCTTGCCTCCGTATCCTGCCGCCTCGCAGGCCTTCCGCGCGACCGATGAGGAGGTTGCCTGGCACGTCAGATCCCTTTCGTGAAATCCCTCCTTTCTCGACGCTCATCGACGCTCAGCCTGAACCGACTGCTTCAGGTCCACAAGGGCAGACACTCCTGCAAGAGCCAGATAGAGCCAGGCAATTTTCCTTTGCGAATTTGCGGCTTCTTGAGCCAGTCTGAGGGATAGTTTGGCAGAGGGACGTGACGATTCAGAATCCTTCACAACGCAACGCAAAGGTGCGTCCTCTGCGTGTCCAGGAGCTCTGAGACGACCTGGCAATAGAAGACCGGAGTTCAACACTCGGTCTCTCAACCCCTGCTGAGGGCAGCACGTCTGCTGCTCGTCGCAGGAGGGCGGGCCTGTTGAATCGCAAGCTAATCCCGGCCTGCGAGATCCTGCAAAAAACCGAATGATGCAGAAGGCCTTCGGCGGCTGAACTCTCCGCAGGGTCGCTACCTGCGCGCGAATACCCTTTAAAGGGCTGCCAAAAACCACCATGGACGGCCGGGCCTGGCTCCATGCCAATCAGGTCGCCTGGAGAAGGAAAACAAGTAACTGGCTCCTTGGTCCATTTCGCCTGCTGGTCCCGGTCATTCCTGGTCCCTGTGCGCCTGGAAGCGGCTGGGGTGCAAGAAGATCTGCGGCGTCGAGGAGTTGCTGCCTCAGCGCGAGCCCAAACCTGCTGCCAATGCCGTTCCCCGGCCTTTCCAGAATCTAGCAGGCCGAGGTGCATTGGTCGGCTGCATATCTCCTCAGACATTCCCGTGGTTTGCAGCTGCCAAGCTCTGACTTTGAGAAGCTCCTCGTGGGCTTCTACTGCATCCAGCTCCGCCACAATTTCGGCACCACAGCGCCAGCACCTCGACCGCCCGGTCAAAACCCCTCTAAGGGCAAGGCCACAGTTTAACACAACGAGACACCGGCCTCCCCGTGAAGCCCTGGTTAAGTCGCGACCTCGCAACGGCTCAGACTCCAGAAATGACGGATTGCTGACACAGACACACAGACAGACGCGCGGGCACACACACACACACACAAACAAACAAACAAACAAACAAACACACACACACACACACACACACACACACACACACACACACACACACACACACACACACACACACACACACACACACACACACACACACACACACACACACACACACACACACACACACACACACACACACACACACACACCACCACACACACACACACACACACACACACACACACACACACACACACACACACACACACACACACACACACACACACACACACACACACACACACACACACACACACACACACACACACACACACACACACGCACATCCATCCATCCGTCCGTCCGTCCGTCCGTCCGTCCGTCCATGCATCCGTCCATGCATGCGTCCATGCATCCATCCATCCACCCATCCACCCACCCACCCAGCTATCCATCCATGTATCCATCCGTCCATGCATGCATCCATACATCCATGCATCCATGCATCCATGCATCCATGCATACACGTAAACAGCTGCAGTGGTTTGCGTCGTCACATGTAGATGTAGGGATCTGGGGGTGTCTGTGATATGCAGGGAACCCTGAACAGAAAAATTGCTGACTGATCAAGTCCCCTATTATGTATTTCCGAGCCTAACCTGAGGCCCCCCTGACGATCATAAACCAAAAACCCCACATCATATAAGACCCTCTGAAAGGTCGATAAGCCCGTCTACCGAGCATAACCCCATGGAAGCCGTTATCAGATCCTGTACAGCCCTGTAACATCGTTAAACCGAACAAAACCCTATCAGTGAGAACGGACTGCTCCCACCTATCTCGGACTCGCTCAAACCCTATCAAGCCAAATACATCTTACTCAAGACCCGGCATGCCCTATCTCATAACTTGTTCGTGGCCCTGTCGCGCACCTGCGCCGCTGCAGCTCCGCCTGGACCTCACTGGACTCCGAGGTCCACGGAGATTTCGGAGGTCCTCATGAGAGCTTCCGAAAATTAGGGGTACCTGGTTTTGGGGTCCTTATCATAAGGATCCTACTCTTTAGGGTACTATATTAGGGTCCGCTATGTTCGGAAACTCCCTCATAAGGAATTTGGGGTGTTGTTTTGCACGATGATTAGTTTCGGAAAATCTATGCCAAGGGTTTTATAAGGACAGACAGGTGGAAGGGCCTTGATGGAGGTTTCTTAAGAGGCCTTCGGGTGCGCCCGAGAACCCAAAACCCTTTAATGATGAAACCTTCAAGCCATGTTAGGGATCCGTCTACTCCAGGTGGGAGTTTCCGAAAATAGAGGACCCTAATGTAGTACCCTAAAGAGTAGGATCCTTATTACGAGGACCCCAAGATAAGGTACCTCTAATTTCGGAAACTCCCAGGTGTGAAGGCAGAACCCTCAGCAAACAGTATCGGGCTCTCTGGCGCGAAGACAAGGGAATGACGGCAGGATTGGAGCCTTCTCCTTCGGCTTCAGCAGCACCCACCTGTCTAGTCGGCATTTTACAGACCTCAAAACACCCTAAACCCTGAGCCCTAAGAAGCAAAGCAAAAGGAGGACAAGTCCAACGTCTGCGCAGCTTCGATGCCAGGAGGCCTCGTTTGTGACTGGATCGCCACCGTCGGCCTCTGGCATGCTGAATCTACAGTCCAACACTGAGAGAGCTAATCGCCAATAATATTAATATATATATATATATGTATATATATATATATATATATATGTATGTTTGTAATATGATACTATAAAAACTACATAATGTAATAATATATTATACAACTTAATATATATAATATATATGGACAGGGACCACAACAAATCTGCCTGTGTCCATCTTGGAGATAGAGGAGACAGAAGACCCGTGGTCTGCGAGGCCAACTGCGAGAGAGCCCCGCTGAGGTCTGCCAGGCTTCGCCCCGCGCTGGGAGCAGAGGCATCCTGACGTATCCTAAACTCACCCTTAACCGCCTTTAAGGGGTTCCCTGAACCCTAAACCTTAAAGCCTCAACAAGCCTCTAAACCCAAAATCGGAAGTGTTTCGGATTTAGGTTTAGGCCTCGACGGTTCCTCACCGTACGCATATACAGGACAGAGCGGTCCTCCTGGCTCTTGCTCTGCACAAATAGGCCGGATGCTTGAGAAGCAATCGATTCCGCAGCAGTCTTAATCTTGGAAAAGGAACTGCCGACGGAGGTGGAGGTGTCCTCGTCAGAGTTAGTAAGAAAAGCCAGCGCTCGATGATGGATACCAACTCTCACATATACATACATTCACTTACCACACAACATTCTTGTGGAATGGTTTGCATGCAAGGGTGAGCTGCATCATCAGGCTCGTCCGCGCACGACTGGCTGGTCTCGCCCACCTCGCCCTCAGCACTTGCTGCCCTTGCCGTGGTTGTGAAGAGGCCCATGGCTTGCGTCGCCACAGTGCCAGCTGCAGCCGTCCACCGAGACAGTGATGCAGCAGAACCATCCGGCACCCAACTGGTGGTCTGCTTCATTGAATCCTCCACGTCCTCGGATTCGCTGCGACAAAGAGGCGACGCTATCGCTGGTGGATTGCTTCCAGAGCGGCTTCAAAGCCACAATCGCTCGCATCTACAGGCTGGTGCGAAGACACCGGAATCACTGTGGTATACAGTCAGTGCGCACCAAATCCAGACACATGGTCCCTAGAGAGACCTGTTCACCCTCCCTGAGATCTGCAAAGCTCCCGGTCCTGCTGCGCGGTTGCTTCCCCGTTCTGGGTCTCGGGATTCCCGGGAAGCTGCTCCGAAGCCGAAGCCATCTCCGCTGGATCACCTCCACTCGCAGATGCCGCCAAAGTCTCCTCGGCCAAAGTGGGCTAAGGGAACGTTGATACACACAGGCTGCTCCTCATGCCCCAGCTTGCTGATGCGTGACCTGTGACACCGGGGCTGGGGCTGCTGGCTCATCGGGCCCTGCACGCGACGCCTCCACATCCGGCTTGGCGGCAGCGCCAGTCAGAGCATGTTCGCTCGTGTCGCTCTTGGAAAAGAGGCCGGCCGCTTGCGTGGCGAGAGTCTCTGCAGCATGAGTGAGCTTCGCCAGGGAAGCGCTGGAGCTGTCCGGAAACCAGCGCTCGCTGCACTGGGTAGATGGAGCGCCGTCCTGACACGAAGCTGGCACGCAACCAAAAACCATCCGAACCTCATGCGAGGACGCGGTTGCTGACTGAAGGGTCCTTCGGCAAACTGGGTTCTGCGGATGCATCATGTGCATCCGGATCATCCGCCATTCCAGCGGCATCTCCGGGATTCGCAGTCTCGGGCCCCTGAGGCTTGGACTCCCCGCTCTTCGAGAAAAGCCCGGCCGCCTGGCTCGCGAGCATCTCGGCGGTGCTCGAGAACTTCGACAGCGACGCGGAGCCGTCAGGGAGCCAACTGCTGTACTGAGCGCTGCCGTCCTAGCTGTACAGAATGCCGCAATTCGTTTGAGAGCTGCCTTTAAGACAAAAGACTTCCAACCGAACGCTGCTTAAACTTGCTTGGCCGCTTTCGCCTGCTCCTCATGCTGCTCTTCAGGTTCTCCTGTTTTGGCAGGCGCTTCCTTCGAAGCGAAGAGCCCTTTGGTGTGAGAAGCGAGGCTGCCCGCCGCCTGCGTGATGTTGGCCAGGGCCGCACCTCCGTCTGGCAGCCAACTGCTCGGCTGCGAAGGGCAGGAGTCCTGAAACCCGAAACCCGGACCCTGGTAAACTCACCCTCTCTTTTGGGACTTACAGATTGAAGGCAATCGTAACAGTGGGTACACTAGAAGGTGAACCCCAACTCCGGACGACCCACGACAACCTTAGAAGCCTTGCAGGGGTCAGCTTGCGGCCATCATCTTCGGACCCAAAAACGGAAAGCTGTGGGAAAGTCTACAGCCCTATGTCCTATGTGCTATGCCTTTGGAGGCATGCTCACGAAATCTGGCTAAGCCGAAGAAACAGCTGAAAAGACTTGGCGCGGGTTCTGCGAGGGCTGTGTTCGGAGACAATGCACAAGTTGCACGGGTTTATGCTTGTCAGGTGGAGGGTGACCCCAGGGGGCACCTTCCAGGGCACCTCGGCACCCACTTCAGTGAGAGGAATTAGGATGCCAAGCATCTAGCGATGTGGATGTGGAGACCAGCAAGAATCGAGAATCTAGAAACTTTCTTCTGAAGAAAGGACGCACCGAGAAAGATCCGGGCTTGTTTAGCTCCCATGTTCGTGTTCCGGCTGGGAAAACAGTCTTCAGCGACTTTCCTAAGATACAACACAACGACGGCGACGGACAGGTTCCGAGCCAAGTCTCTTTGGAGTCATCCGTGGCAGCTGCAGGCTGCACTGCTGGCTCATCGGGCCCTGCACGCGACGCCTCCACATCCGGCTTGGCGGCAGCGCCAGTCAGAGCATGTTCGCTCGTGTCGCTCTTGGAAAAGAGGCCGGCCGCTTGCGTGGCGAGAGTCTCTGCAGCATGAGTGAGCTTCGCCAGGGAAGCGCTGGAGCTGTCCGGAAACCAGCGCTCGCTGCACTGGGTAGATGGAGCGCCGTCCTGACACGAAGCTGGCACGCAACCAAAAACCATCCGAACCTCATGCGAGGACGCGGTTGCTGACTGAAGGGTCCTTCGGCAAACTGGGTTCTGCGGATGCATCATGTGCATCCGGATCATCCGCCATTCCAGCGGCATCTCCGGGATTCGCAGTCTCGGGCCCCTGAGGCTTGGACTCCCCGCTCTTCGAGAAAAGCCCGGCCGCCTGGCTCGCGAGCATCTCGGCGGTGCTCGAGAACTTCGACAGCGACGCGGAGCCGTCAGGGAGCCAACTCTGAAAGGCGCTTGGGTCTTGCACGTCATCAGGCTCCTAGCTGGAAGAGACTATCGAAACCTACACGCTCAGAATGCGTCGACAAGTTCAATAAACGCATTACATGAAAACGAATGTTAGCAAAGTCGGATTGCCACGGCTTTTTTGGAGGCATCGACGGCCTCGTGGGGAGAGCCCAGCACATTCGTATCGAAGCTGCTGGCTTCAGTGCAGTTCCACTCGAGGGGAGTCCCCACTGACGCTTCGCGCTCCAAAGACGTGGAGTATTCCGGGCCGTCTAGCGGGGCAGCTGTGGGCTCGGAAGCCTTTGTCTCCTGTCCATCCTCCCGGTCTAGGAAAACCAACCGATCGGAGGCATCGTCGACGTCGGAGCAATCCTTGCAATGGGATGCCGCTTGGTGAAAAGAGATGCACAAAGCAAGAACAGACCGAGGGGAGCGAGTATTTATTTTGTCTATTTTTCTGGTTTTTTTTTGTATATTTTCCTGGTTTTAGTTCTGTTTTCCTTGGTTTTCGGAATCTAGCCTGGTGGCCGTGACCGTTCGCCACCTCTGACTGGAGTTCTTTTTTGTGTATTTTTCTGGTTTTTTTTGTACATTTTCCTGGTTTTAGTTATGCTTTCCTTGGTTTTCGGAATCTAGCCTAGTGGCCGTGACCGTTCTCCACCTCTGACTGGAATTCTTCCTTGCGTATGTTTTCGGTATTTTTTGTAGATTTTTCGGTTTCAAAGCTTCCCAAACTTCTTCGCTCGTCTCGCGGCAGCTGCTGGACTGTCCGAAGCTCCTGCCACAATGCTGCCGTGTCTCTCACACTTCTTTTTTGCCCCGCGCGCTTATAGCATCCGCGAAGCTTCTGGATTGAAACTGTAAGACTCTGCGGTTGCGGTCTGGGTGGAGAGGGGCCTGGGACTGTAGAAATAGATTGTATGGCCCATGTCTGCTGAACCTTAATCCGCACTGATTCCTGCACCTTTGCCCTAATGCTGAGAGATCAACGACCTGGAGGATGTTTTTTTGTGTTTTTTTTTGAGAGGGGGGGTTGGTATTTTTTGTTGGTCAAACGCGTATGTGCTGTCAAGCAAGCATGCCACTCTCGCACGTTCGGCGCATGCTTCCCAATTGCAAGCACACTTTTCACAAGGTGAAGGGTGTTGTTTCTAATTAAAAGATTCATCCTAGGATATGCTAGGCATCGCGGGTTTCCAAAACGACTCCTATGCTGTCATGCAATCACGGCTTATAGCAGCGGGGGGGTTGGGGGGGGCGCAACCCCTTCCAGTTGCAATCACGATCCTCGTATGGCTGGTTTACCACAAATCACATGCGGCCGGGGGGGTTTAAGGGCGGCAATCATGATGCTCGCATGGTTGGTTTTAAACAAAAATATATGCTGTCAAGCAAAGCTGCGGTCACGCAAGCTTGCACATGGTTTAAAGCAGTGGGGGGGTTGGGGGGGCGCAGCCCCCCCCGATTTGCAAGCATGATGCTCGCGTGGTTGGTTAAAACATGCGTATGTGCTGTCACGACTCCTATGCTGTCATGCAACCTGGCACACGGCTTACACAGCGGGGGGGTTGGGGGGGGCGCAGCCCCCCCCATTTGCAATCACGATGCTCGCAACAAAATCTATGCGGCGGGGCGGTTTAAGGGGGGCAGCTCATGAGGATACTCGCATGGTGGGGTTGTCAACAAAACACATATATGCTGTCAAGCAAGCTCGGCACTCTCGCACGCCCGTGGCAGGCTTTCCATTTGCAAAGACACTCTTTGCATGGTAATGGCATTGTTTCAAAAAGCCTTATATTTTATGCAGGGTGGGTTTCAAAAACGACGTCTATGCTGTCAAGCAAGCTTGCACACAGCTCAAAACAGCGGGGTCTCTGGTCTTTGCTTCTTGCTGTCTAATTATCCTGCTTTCGTTCTTGGGTTCTTTCTTTGCTCCGTTCTTTCTAACACTCCTTCTGGTCGTCCTTGCTGGCTTTCTGTCTTTCGATATTCATTTCTTCTGTTCTGTCTCTCTGTCTTTCCTGCGTTCTTATTTCCTTGCTTCTGTCTGTCCTTCTGTCCTTCCTTCCTTTCTTTCTTTCTCGCCATTCTGGTGTGTTGCTTTCTTGCTTTCTTCCTTTGTTCCCGTCTTCGTTCTTTCCTTTTTTCTGTCGTCCTTCGTTCCTTCCTTCCTGTCTTTCTGTCCTTCGTCCTTTCTTTCTTTCTCCTCTTCCTGGTGTCGTCCTTTCTTGCTTTCTTTGTTTGTTTCTTTGCTCCTTTCTTTCTTTCCGGCTTCCGTTTCTCTCCTTCTTTCTTTCGTTTGCGTTCAACCTAAAACCAGAAAAATAGACAGAAAAAAACCAGAAAAATTGACAAAAAAAATACGGTACCCGACCGAGGGAGGTCCTTCTCTGCCTCCGCTTCCGGCATCTCGGGCTATCTCCCCTCTTGCATCAAACTGCAAGACCTGTGAGGACTGCATTGAAGGAAATTTGCTGGCTTGGAGAATGTCGGACTTTGGCGACAGTACATCGGAAGTGCACTGATATGCGAGAAATATCGCTGAGAAGTCCGCATCTACTTGCACAGGGAAACTACAGTCGATGACATCGTACCTCTGCCAAGGCTACTAGTAACAGTAATGATGACCAATGCCACTGCCCTTAGTGTTATCAGCATAACCACTCTCCGTTGTAGTCGTCTCAAAGCCTCGGAGGCCGCAGTCGAGAGACCCGCACCCTCAGCCTAAACTCAATCGGATTTGAAGTCTATTGCGGTCAGCTAGGGCTTATGGCTGAAGATCAAACCCGATCAGCCGAATAGACCTGAACCCTGAACCCAAAACTGGGCCCCGGGCCGGGGGAACTGAAAGCGTGGCCACGTGTGGTCGCAGGCAGCACGCACGTGTGACATCAGCAGTGGGGGTTGAAGGGGCCTGGAGCCTGGGGTTTACGGTGTAGGCTGTGTAGGGTTAGGGCTTCGGGTGTTGGGGCTTCTTGGGTGGGTGTGCAGCCCAGGCTGTTGCTGCGGGGCTTGGGTGGCTGTGGTCCTTAGTTCGGGGCTCAAAGCCTGAAGTCGAAGGTCTCGCGGGGAATTCCGTGACCACAGTAGGTAAGGCTTTCCAGTTGGAGCGTCTGTACTCAGTCTCAGAGCTGCACGGATAAGCCCCCAGGTCACGGAAACAGAGAGCGCGCATGAAGATTGTGGGCACAACTCCTCTGTCACAACATATCACAACATCTTCTCAGTTGCAACGGCCTTTCCACCTGCGCACGGTCTGACGAGCTCTGCGAGTTCTCTCTCGTCCGAGCTTTCGAACGCTAAATTTCGCAGGCGTGGCTCTCAGCCGAATTATCTTCAGCTCCTCAGCCAGCGAGTTGCGTCAATACGCCTTCGTCCAGCTTCTCACCGAAGATTTGCCTTGGCCAGTTCGCGGACTCATGGCTCGGCCTCTGCGAAATGCCGGCGATGCCTTGGGGCGCTCTGAGCTCTGGGGGCTTGGCGCCTCGAATGCCCTGCCGCCTTTCATCGGCAAAGCTCGACACTCATCGCGCAAGTAAATACCGAACTGCTGCCCCGACCTGAAAACGGCGCGTCTTTTGGTGCTCCCGACTCCTCATGCCTTCGCGAAAGCTGAAAGATGCTCAAATGTTTGCGAAGGCCGTACGACGCTTCCAAGGCCCTGACGGTGGCTCCTCCGGCCCGGCTTCCTGGTGAGGCCCAGGCACCTGCTCCAGTGGAAAGGTCCGGTCCGGTGACCGCTGGGAGCAAAGCCAAAACTGAGGCGGAATCCTGCGACTTCTCCGGGGGGCTCTCCGACTCCTTGCCCTCCGTGGCGAGTCGCTCCTTGTCCTCCTGCAGCTTCTTCATGTGATCTTCGGCCTGCCAATGGTAAATTTATTCCGCTCAGTGGGTCTGATGCACGGTCTTCGTGAAGCACATCTCAGACATGCGCGGACAGATTTGAGCCTCCTTCTTCTTCTTCTCAAGGGCAGATAGCTTATCCTCGAGTGGACGCTTGTCGTCGCTTTCCTTGTCGCTGTCGCGGCTGTGGGTGTCGTCTTTGCCAGGCTCCGCGGACTTCTTTTGGCTGCTTGCCTTGTCCTTATCGGAGTGGGTAGCGTCGTCGCCAGACTGCCGATGCTTCCCACTACCTTCCACGTCTGCTTTCTTCGCCTGCAGCTCTTGGCTGTCCGGCGGCTTGGCCTTGTCCTCGGACGCTTTGCAGCAAGTCGCCGAGCACACTCAGTTTCATGCGCAGTCTGTCTTTCGACATCAGCACCATGTCACCGCCTGTGTTCGTGGCGAGCAGCGGTTGTGACAGACGCAGAGGTACTCCATCCGGAGGCGGTCGTGTCAGTGCAGCAGGTGTAGCTGACAGGGCCTGGCTGCATCTGGGTGCCACCAGTGTGGCGATCAACGGCTGTGCGCGGTGACACCAAGCTTACCACACTTCAGTTGTAACAATGCAGCCAGGCTTCTCATCTGCAGCTTCAGACATATTTGTCCAGTACTGCAGCTCGAGCTGCACTCTGTCTCCGTGTAGCTTGTGCATCTCGTCTGGTCCTCGCAGCAAGAGAAGGCTCAGACGTGTTCCACACCTGAAGCTCAACTCTGCATCTTAAGCTGCAGCGCCATATCTTCTTGCGGATGTGCGTCATACTTCGGGCATTCCGAGGTCCAAGAATCGCCCCGCCAACATTCCTGAAATGTTGCTTCGTTGGGGGTGTTGGAGTTTTTTCCGGGTCGGGTTCAGGGTGCCGAAGGTCATTCAAGCAACGCTAAACACCCTTGTGAAACCCGAAAGCAACTCCAAAAAAACCTCTCAAGTCCTTGTCAACCCATTGCTTACAACACGGGGGACTCCGGGGACGCGCTTCTTTGGGAGGACCGACCCTCGGTGCTTCGCCAAGGTACATTCGCTCGGTTCATCTCTCGGCGCATCACAAGAGCTGAGTCCTGTACAGCTTTGAGGGGCGTAGGGTTTCGGGGTTGCGGTCTAGAGGTTTGAGGTTTTCAATAGGGTTTCAGCTGAAATCGTAGGCTTTTCACGCGGGGTCATGTTGCCTTTCATGCAGAAGGGCTCAGGTTCCAAAACTTGGTGTTGCGCCCTAAATCCTGAACCCTCGAATCAACACGAAGCCACGGCGAGGCCGGGAAAGGCGCAAAGGGAGAAATCCTTCTGGACGCTTCCATCCGAGAGAACTTCTGCATGGTGAGACATGGCCTTGCGGAAAAGCTTGACAGAACAAGGCGCTCAGAAGAGGGCCCAATCATTTTTAACAAAAGTGCACACCTGAACATGAAGGGGCCCTTCCTGTGATTCAAGATAGCCTCCCTAATGCAGGAGCACTGGGCTGCCAGATCCCATCCCGCATGGGATCGCATGCAACACTCGGCCTCTGCATGCCTGCAGAACTGAGTGAAGACAACCACCTCGGTCAAGGTCTGTCTACAGAATGACGACTGGGTTTGGGGCATCTATGGGTACTATAAATATACGGTGGCCGCGAGGGGACAATGGCGGGGCGAGACCTTATGCCAGCAACGTACATGCAAACATAGTTACGGCAGCAAAGATCCTTGGTTGCCAGCAACCATACGGTAATCATAGTCACGGCATAATGGTCGTAGTTACCCGCATGGCAATAGCTACTGCACGAAGACTAACGACGAAAACACTTGCTAAGAAAACACTTTCGTATCTGGTGGCTGCAGCCCAGCTGCATCGACGAGGACTGCAAGGATGTGTCTGCGCATCCTGAACCATCCAGGACTTCACGGAGCTTGAACGATATTGGTAGTTGTCAAAATTAGGATCCCTTTTTGGGTATCTTAAATATTACGTGCCGTATTGTATTATGGACCCAAAAAGGGACCACAGTTTTGACAGCCACCCAATCTGAAGAACCACCAGGGCTTCTGCTTTGCAGCCAGGCTCAGGCGCAGACGGAGCCTCACAACGTATGGAGAAGCATAGGCCTGCACCCAAAGTCGAAAATAGGGGACCCTAATAAAGTACCCTAAATAGTAGGATCCTTATTATAAGGACCCCAAAGTAAGGCAAGCTTTGCCAGAAGAGCGATGAAAGCCACGCCGCCAAGTTGTTCAAGGACAGCAAGTCGAAGGATGATCCTTGTTTTCCTACTGTTTTCTCATCTGCAGGATTCCAAAAGTTCCCGAAAGCCTGAAATGTTCCTACTGTGCTATGAGAATAACCAGCCAGCAACCCGAAAGCCCTCACACCCTGGAAACCCTCAGCCAGAGATCTTTGGAGTTCCCTCGGACCTCGATTTGGAAGAAGACGTAGGTTGCCCCGGGCTTCCCTTGAGCCCAAAGACTTGCGGGATGCGCTTGAGAGATGCAGGCGTCTGAAATAAGCAAATGTGTGTTTATGTAGGAATCTATGTAAAACCCTGCAACCCGAAAACTCTAAAATCCTTATAGCCCATGAACCCCTGATTCAGTTTGCTGCCTATTGGCTTTGGCATCTGTCCAACTCTAAGCTGGCTCGGCCGAGCCTCACTCAGCCATGCCAACACGGCCCACCGCTGCAAGCACTTCTGCAAAGAGGGGAGGTTGCTCCAAAATAGGGTTTATGGCATCTACTTGCTCGTTGAATCTAACGGCTGGTTGCGAGAAGGACAAGTGCATTGACCACAATCTGGAAACAACTCCCACATGTGGGCTCCATTAGCATGCCAGAAATTTGGTGCTTCGGCTGGAGACCTGCAACTTGCCACATCTGCGGCTCCCAGTTGGTACGCGTGCTACCAGAATCAGCGAGCAGCCAAATTTAGCAAAGCATGAAAATTGGAAACTGATGCCTGAATGGCATGCACTGCTGCATCGGGGCTTGGCTCATCTCACCGATCGGGCGAGGTCATGCCAGCACGGGCCTCCAAGCGTCAGAAAGGCAGCGCGGATAGACTACGTTACAAGTGGCATGAACACATCTTGCTGATCTGACAAGGTGATGAAAGACTTGCTCGCACGGAGTATCCGAGGCCCTGACGACACGATGTTGCTTTCACCTGAACGCATCTGGGCTTTCACTCGGACCGACTCTCTGCAGGGCTTGCTCGATGTAGGGCTCTTGGGATGGTGCAGCTATGTGGAGCTTCCGAAGATTCAGGGCTCCAAAGCTTCAGAGCTTCGGGCTTTGGTGCAGGGTTTAGGGCCTAGGGCCGAGGGTTTTTTAGGAGTTGGGGGTTTCTTAGGGTCGCCTCTGCATCCAAGGCACCCTCCTCGGGCACCGGCCATCGCACGGGCTGCAGGCCGCGCTGGCAGGATCCAGGGCTTACTTAAAGGATCATGGGACTTAGTGCGTGGGGGATTGATCTCGACTTGGTTGCTGCTCTCCCCACCAGAGCTGTAATGAATGTAGGTGTGGCTGGCTAGCACTCTCCACAGACTGGACCCTGTCTCTCTCTCGTACTCCCACACGTGCAATCCTATGCAGGCAGAACCGGCGGCCGTTCCTTTTGCACTCACTGCCGGCGGCGGTTCGTCTGTGCAACGGGATAGCTCTGATTGCTCAGGATAGAAGACACATATAGCACTTAGCTACGGGCATTGACTTGAGCCAAACGTTGCGTTGGCGGTCACATAGAAAGGTAAAGACGAGGGATGCGTAGCATGCCCCCTAGAGTCGAGGGACGCGTAGCGTGCCCCCTTCTCCTGCACTTTACACGGTCTTGCTCACAGCTCTTATAGTGACACCTTAGAACTTGACAAGGCATCGCAGTCCGTTCGCACCCCCCATGAGTTGCGTCTCCGACGCTGCTCACCCGGAAGATGGCACGATAGGACAGAAGAAAATTTCCGCCGCAACGTTGACATTGAAAATCAGAGCTTTGTATCCCAATTAGAAACGTTGTGACACTCATCTACGTCAGTAACGATCCCCTGAAATGACAAACGAATCAGGCGTCACCGAAGAAAGAAGCATTCGCGATGGCATTCCACAGGCGAAGCTCAGAGGTCACGAACTGATAGGCGAGGAAGATCAGGCGTTGTCTCGCCACCATCTTCGCGTTGACGTAGGATCGCGTTCCCAGGGCCGGAGGTTCTCCTCTGGATATGGGTTCCTTGGCTTTCCCTTGTCCTTGCCTTTGTTTCGGCCTTTGGCGGCGATGTAGTCGTGGTAGGAATTGGTGTTCCAGCCACCATGTTGCTCGCCTCCGGTTCTTCCACGCCCTTTTGAAGGTCCCTTGGATGAAGAAGCGCTTTCACGTTCCTCCGTAGTGACCGGCGTGTCCAGGATGGAAGTACCACCTGGAGGAAGATAATCAGCGGCCGAAATGTGGTGTAGAGCCTCTGTACGCCTTGTCGTCGGGTTTTGCTGTCTCTCATTCTTGGATCTGTTCAATCTGTCCATAAAGTGCGCGGGCATTTGGATGCTGTGATCCACTAGCAAGGCGATAGTCTGGACTGACTGATCAGAATGAGTTAGCAGAATGCCGACAGGGTCGATGTACAAGAAGTCCACTGGTCCAGTTGGCGTTGGTCGTAGCACCGAGAATTGTTGGTGTCCCGTCACCATTGGGATCACCTCGCATAGGACGTTCAGGCAACAAAAGTGCATTGCCTTTACATCTTCATCCCTGTCGCTCTTCAAGTAAGTAGTAGGGCTGAAGTTGTCCCTGCCAATTCCCATCATGTTGGCTCCGCGTACAAGTAAAGAAAGCATCTGGTTCGTCCGGAAGCGCTTCAAGGTGTAAGTCCCGTTGGGATCATACTGTTTGAGGTTCTCAGGTTCTTTCGCGAAGCGAATGATCTCCTCATCAGTCACATCCCTGCTGACACCTGTTTCCTTGTCCACTGCTGCCAAAGATCCCCACTTTCCAAGCACATCATAGCGTTGGCCAAGCGCGAAACTTTCCCTCATCTGAAACAACGGCATAGTCGCCCACTTTGCGAATCCTGACCAAGCTTTGTAGATGGATCGGCATACCACGTATGCCATGTACGACAGAGCGGTCATGTTCGCATCGATGCAATGAGCATTTCGCTTTCCAGAATAGTAGGATGGCTGCATGGCGGTACGTGCAAGTTGTAGTTCAGGATCGATGTTCAAAGACTGGCCGGTAAGGAAGACGGGACGACGTTCCTGTGCGATTGCTTCCGGAACTGCGTCATCGAAGTCCTCTTCAGGCTCAACGTCCATTTCTTCATCAGGTTCCTGTTCTGGATCGTCTTCCGCAACGACAGATGGTTCTGGGATTTCTTCAGGTTCCGCAACGGTCTCTACCTCCATGGCTTCCTGCTCCTCTTCGGGCGCCTCAGGCACTGCGGCTGCTGCGGCTTCCATTGTCTGAGCAATGAAGTCACTGGGGATCTCCGTAGGAGTCTCCCGTTGTGGAGAACCTTGGTAATATCCGCTCGAAATGAACTGTGACCAGCAAGACGTGCATCGGGAGAAACATGCTGGAACAATGTTGTAGCATGCCGGGCATACCCTCATTCTCCTTCCATCCTCGTCTCTGCGTAGGTCTTCGGGTCGCCAATTCTTGATGACAAACTTGATTCCCTTGTCCATGTAGTGATGCCGAACCGTGTTCTCCCTGTGGGACTCCAAGACAGTTGTGAGGTCACGAATGATCTGCTCCTTGCTTGTGTCGTGGGGTCCAGGAGGCATCTCGCAAAGCAATTCCATGATCTTGCTTGGCGTTCGGTATCTCTCGAACTCAGGAAGCAACGGTGATGCATTGTAGTCCAACACCAGCTCTTTCTCCAACCTTTCATCGTAGATCTTTTCCACCAGAGCGAAAGAGTGTGTATCTCGAGGATCAGGGACGCAAAACCATACCTCCTTGACGAAATGGAAAGGTATCGTCCGACCAACGATCATGATGCCGCTGTCTGTGATACGACCATCTTCTCGTGCAAGATCTTGCGATGGGACATGAAGAACTGCCAATGGCATATGCTTGGCGTCTCGTCCGTGTACTCGCATCTTGGTCGTTGCGTTCCGGTGATCGAACGGCGCAAACACCCCCCAATAGCTGTGGAGTCTGCCGCCTTGGTTGCCTCGGAATTGGCGCCGATGGTCAAAGTCCCCGTCGGGGTCCTCCGAACCAGGCATGATGCCTTGCGTGACAATGGAATCCAAGTTGCGGCATGCCGTAGCGTGGAATGCACCTCCAAGACGTTGCAAGAGGGTCATAGATGGAGATATTGCGAACCTGTTCTTGTCCAACTGAAGCAAGTTGTTCTGGGGATCTGAATGCGCAGAGTGACCACTCGTAGCCCGAACTGCCCATGGCTTCACCCAGCCGTTGCATTGGTTCAGGTACCTCTGGCCATGTCGGCAATGGTCGTTGCTCTGGATCTCTGCGATCTGGTCCCGAACTGATACCAACATGTTCGAACCTGCTGACCCAAGAACTTCCGTGCCGGGGTCCTTCACTCTCACACCCAGGAACTGCAACCGAATCTTGGCCTTGTTGCGTTTCGTGGCTGCAATCATGTTCCCCTGGAACAATAGCTGAAGTCTTTCATTGTACACTCTCTTCTTCTGTTGGTCATCGGTCCTTGAGACCCCTTCGGTGATGCGTCTGCTTTCATGGGTCCATAGTGGCTCATGCCTCACCAAGTCT